AGACAAGGCCATGGTGTAAATGGAAGTTTCAGAGAGGACAAAATAAAACTGAATTCCATTTTTCTCTCACTGTATTAAAGCTTTTGTGTGTGATCTTTTAAATTCTGATAATGTATTGTAGCTCTCCTGCGTAGACCTGAGCTCAGAACAGTTGACACAGCTGTTCTTCTGTCTCTTCACAACTTTTAACTGGATTTCATTTCAGGATTGGAAATACGTGGCTGTCATGCTGTGGTTGTGTACATCTTACTAATTCAGAATGCAAGATTCACCAGGAAGATGATTTATTTCTGTCATCTGGATAGGTTGTTTCCATCTGGGTTTTGCAAACTTTGTCAGACAACGTGGAAAAAAAGGAGGGAGGATGCTTCTTGTAGCAGTAGGAATTCAGCTATAGGAAAGTCAGCCGTAAGCTAATGTGGCATCTTATTTGCTTTGCTTACATTTCTCCATTAAGAAGTATCCAGGGAAAGATTGCTAAGGGCCACATTTTTGGAAAACTGGGAAGATTTTCATTGGACTTTTTTTTTTCTTTTCTTTTTAAAAAAGTTTTAATTTAAAAAAAAAAAATTTTTAATAGAGATGGGGTCTCACTGTGTTGCCCAGGCTGGTCTTGGACTCCTGGACTCAAGCAATCCTCCCACCTCAGCCTCCCAAAGTGCTAGGATTACAGGCATGAGCCACCCAGCCTTTTTAAAAAATTTTTTTTGCCTTTTTTTTTTTTTTTAAATTAAAAAAAAATAGAGACAGGGTCTCAGATTTTCATTTGATTTAGAAAACAAGTTAGAATGTTGACTTTGGAGCCAGATGAACCGATACCAGTTAGCCAGGCACATGTTCTTCCAGGGTCTTTGGCTAGGTAACATTAGTGATTTGCTTCATGAAAATTCAAGAACCGTTTCAGAACCAAGTACCTAGATTACCTTCCCAATCAGGTAGAACTTAGACAGGGTCCACAGAAGTAGACACTTAATGCTGTGGTTCAATAAATACCTCCCCTAAGTATTAAGTCTTCCCTGAGTCCCAGCAGGTTTGCATTCACACTGCTTAAGTAACTCTCAGAACCTGGAAGAGCACCGCTAGGAAAGAGATGATTCCAAACAGCTTTCATTAACAGTGTGTATGCACCAGTCCCTTTCCCAAAAGTGGACTGTTAGTAGTAGTTCAACCTTTGTTAAGGGGTAGCCAGAATGTGAGATTGTCCTCAGAAAGACAGACAGATATAGGCTTAAACATAACGGACATCCTAAATAGGAATTTTCAGATTGTTTTTGAAGTGAAAAGTGTTTTAATGTCTTTAAATGGAATTGCATAACTAATGGAATTTAAGTATTTTACATGTTGCTAGTAACTTTGAATATGATTGTTGCAATTTTATGGAACCTGGGTCTATGGGACTGCTTTTTCTTTAAGCAGTTTAAAAAAGGTTTTTAAAGTTTAAAAGCCGATCTTAGCATGTATAATCTTTACGGGATTCTTAAGTTGTATCCTCTTGTTTTTGCTCAAGAATGCTTTATCAGTGACGTTTGTTTTGTTTTTTGTTGTTTCAAATTGTTTTTGGGCTAGAAATGAGTTTCTCTAGTTTTATTTGTTCTCCCTGAGTTGGAGTTATGCAATGAATGGCATTTTTGTGGTAAAATGCTGATCCTAAAATCTATTCACTCACTGTTTATTTAAGAAGGGAATATCTGTATACGTTAATGACTGGGTAAAACAGGAAATACGTTTTGAATATACAGCCTAAAGGCAGGCAGTTACAGGGTTTTTTGGTTTCTCTGATTTTATAGGGTGCAAGTTCCCAGTGGTAGGATGCCCTGCTGTGCGACTACACTGTGTCCTGAGCAGTGTCACCTCTCATCAGTTTGGCCAGCCCTACAGCCACCATGCCTAGCCCTGTGCTGCTTCAGAGGATACCTGTGCTGGAATGGACATCAGGAAAAGTCCTTACTTTTCCCCCCAATTTACCTCTCAATCTTAGTTCTTCCAGAACACACTTCCCTTTCCCAAGGCAAATAAACTAAAAGTGAGATTTGATACATGGAATTTTGTGACCAACTAACCTTACACATAATTTGAGGGATTCCTGGATTCTTCCAGTAATACTGAAAAGCACACTTGACTAAAGCATAGTGTTTTTTGTTTGTTTGTTATGGAAATATGGTATACGTTCATTTAAAAATAAATGGACATACAAATTGCATCTCCTTAGGAGATACATTTTATATACATTTCGGTGCGTTTTTTCCAGTATGGATTTCTATTTGTTTCTCTCTTCCATTTGTTTTTTTCTGTGTCACTCTTGTATGTCCTCTTATCTTTCATACCTCTTGTGTGTCTCTAGAAGCAGAACACTCAAGTCCTGGGTCTGGATAATGAAACCCTCTGTCTCTGGGGCCTCTGAAAATAAGGAAGCATTGGAGCTATTGCCATGTTGAGTAATGGGCTTCCTAGAACTATTGTCATCTATCCTGCCAGGGTTTTATGTTGTAGCTGTTTTTCTTTGACAGGTGGGTTCCAGCTATGTTGTTAGTCATGATCCTGCCATTATTTTCTGTGTTCTGTAGGATGTCTCCAGACTACTGAAACATATTTTATGAGTTTGCAATAAAATTGTTGAATCTTGTATGATCAAGTCACTCCTCTGCTCAGAAATCCACAGTGACTTCTTAGCCCCTATATTATATGCATACTTGTTTTTTTCTTAACTTTACTTCCACTTCTACCTAACAGGGACCTCAACTTAAGTCTCTTCAGTTCTTCCAGGCCTGGCCTTGTTCCTGATTCCTCAAAAAATCTTGACTCTAAGGCCTATCTTATCGTCTGTCTCTGAATCCCTATAAAGCTTCAAGTCTGTATGACATATTCTTACGCCAAATTATATATTGTCTTGTACTGTTCCTAGCTGGTACATGTATATTAGTCTTGTCTCCCTCATGAGAATGTAAGCTCCTTAAGGGCAGGGACCATGTCTTAATTTTTGTATCCACCACAGTGCCTAGCATAGTGCTTGGCACATGGGTGCTGAATAAATACCTTTGTTTATTGATCAGCAAAGTATTATCTGGTATTTTTAATTATACAGGGATTAAAGTGTATGCATGCAAGCTTGAGCCTAGTTGCTGAAGCTTGTGGTTGTCTCTGAAAATGGGATAGAGGGAAACTGAACATGATCAAGGGCAGTGATTTGGTGGTCAGAAAAGCAAAGGTGACCACCAGCTAGTATGGTCGTGATCAGACCAGCTAAGTCCACAGACTATCCCAGACAAGTTAAAAATGAAATGTGTCTGACACTTCATCTTTTGGAGGAAGAACCAGGATATTCTTTGAATAGTTATTAGGTTGTCAGTATCTACATATGAAAGCTGCTAAACCTCAAGAGACTTCTTTAGGAGAAACAGCAGATTTCAGTCTACCAATGGGAGAAATGTGGGCAACATGGCTTGATGCATATATAGGACTTAATTTTTCAACTCTTTGGTCCTCTTAGCTTTGAGGCTACAAAATAGCTGGATCATTAGGCCAGAGATTATGGATGAGTTACCTGCAGATTGGTTACCTACCTATGTGCTTTGTTTTGACAGTACTTTTTTCCTTTTTTTTTTTTTTTTTTTTTTTTTTTTTTTTTTTTTTTTTAGTTTAAGCCTGTATTTAACATTGACAGATAAAAATCTTCACTTTTGGCTTTTCTTGAGAAAACTGGAAGATCTGGCAATAATAGGTCTACATGACAGCCATTGCCTAGAAATGATTAGTGGCTGCATCTAGAGGTGGCATGTGCTTCATCAAGAAATAAGTCCACCCATTTATATTACCTAAATTATTGCCATCATTAGGAACATTGGACTGCTACATTAAGTTACTCTGGAAAGCACACTGGGAAAAAGAACTGGGATGTCTTTACTTACTCAAGGTCCATAATTTGAGAGTTAACATTTATTATCCCTTGTAGTTTTGGCTTGCCTTTCTAAATATTTCAGGGTAGGAAGTGAAAATTTATCAGTTTATTCTTAAACACAAATCTGCTGCTGGCTCAACGTGCACATTTTCAGTAATGCCTGGTCACCAAACTGTCAGCAACTAGAGGAAAATTATCTCCAACCTGGAGGAAAGGGAAAGTTTTTGTTTTTAGACTAGCTCTCTCACGAATCATGGGAAGGGAGATTTTTTAACAGGTTCACATACAGGGCGAGTTTCATGGAAACGAGCTTCAGAAGATGCCCTTCACATGAGCTGAAGCCTACGGTGTACTCTGGAAATCACATTTCCTGTAAGAGCAAACAGCTACTTGGCATTCTCCTGGTAAATAAGCACATCGTCTAAGAACTTTTAGGAGGGGAAGGAAGAACTAGTTACAATCCTACTTTTTTTGCTGCAGTTCTGAATCTTCATTGAAGTGTCTTATGATGGGGTTGCACAGCCATGTAGAGAACGTGAGAGTCTGGCTGGAATGGTTGGGGGAAAGGAAAGATAAAAGACAATTTTAGTTTCATTGAACTCCCTCCGTCGTCCTCTGCTTGTATTACTGGAGGCGACCACATCCTCTGGAATAGTCATTTTCTGAGTTAAATTCATGTATATCATAGAATTGGTTTTCCTTTCTGTAACACAAGATGATCACAAATCTATGACTTGGGGACATCTGAATAACTAATCTCAGATGACTCAATTTCTTTATCTATAAATTAGCGATAATCTAATAACCAGTATCTACCACAAAACTTACAAGTTGTTTAGAGGATTAGACAATGCACGTTTGTGCTTCTCATTGATTTTACAGAATTAAGTACTTTCTTTGAAGAGTGACTGTGATTTGGACAGAGAAGGAGAAAACGCGTGTTTACTGAAAAGAAGTAATGCTACTAAAAACGACGAGAAAAACCTCGTTAACCAAGACTACAGTCCCACGGAACCGTACACTCTGTGTTTCGCGGTTGTAGCTCCGGGCCTTTTCTTGGTTGTACCTCGGGCCCTGCTTTTCCTACCCCCAGGAAGTGAAAGCCTTCCCAAGCCCCCAGTGCATGCTGGGAGTTGCAGTCGAAAGGCTGGGGCGGCCGTGAGGTCATCGGTGGTCGCCGGGAGCCGCCAGCACGTGGCGAGGAAGGGGCGGTGCGCGCCTGCTGTCTGCACCTGAGAGGGGGCAGGAGCTGCCGGCGCTTGCGCCTCCTGCTGCGGTGCCCTCCCGACATGCCGGAGGAGGCGGGCTTCCCGCCGGCCAAGAGATTCCGGCCGGGCTCTGGGCCTCCGAGCCGCTCTGGGTCCTTCCCTCCTGGGAGGCAAGTGGTGATGCTGCTGACTGCGGGCAGCGGCGGCAGAGGTGGAGGAGGAGGCCGGAGGCAGCAGCCGCCTCTGGCCCAGCCCTCGGCCAGTCCCTACCCTGAAGCTGTGGAGCTGCAGCGCCGGAGTCTGCCCATCTTCCAGGCGCGGGGACAACTGTTGGCCCAGCTCCGAAACCTGGACAACGCGGTCCTCATCGGTGAGTGGCCGCGCCGGCGGGCCCTTCCTTTCACTTCGTCCGTGGCTTAGCCAGAGCAGTTTTTCTTACATGCCTCTTAATCCCTTTCGTTCTTGGCTTCAACAAACCTGAATACCTTTTCTGGGGCAGACCTGGAGAGGGGCCCTGAAGAAGGGTCTGGCAGCCCTGCCCTGGAGGCGCTGGACAGCCCGGTGAGAGTGACCGACGTGTGTAGGCAAAGACTTACCTTCCGTGTAAAAGGATAGAGACACGTACCGGGGGCTTGCGGAGCTTAGGAGAGTGGATCTGACCCAGTTTGTGAGGAGGTGGCTGGGGAGGTCGTGTGGGAGGGAGGACGTTCTAGGCAGGAGAGAAAGTCTTTTGAGAGATGGGAACCTGAACACATTCCGGTGGAAAGGGAAGGTGTAGTTTCTGGTGCATGAAAACAGGCAGAGTTGTTGGGCAGCGACTGATTTCAAGGGGCTTTCATCCCCCACGTGTTAGAGGAGATACTGAAGGACGGAAAGGATGAGCAGCCAAAAAGGGGAAGGAGACCCATGAGAGCTGCTAGTCAAAGGAATACAGAGTGAGCAGATGCAGCAGTCCAGTCCACTTTCACTGGACTTGGATGTGATGCCCACTGGATTTGGATGTGAGCTGTTTGTAAGAGTTAAAGAAAAAGGAAAGAAACACGAAACGCGGCTGGCAGTTAAAGGTGGGTTTTCTTTAGTTAAAACCTGAGAGGTGCTCCTGGCCGAGTTCGGTCAGGAGCCCTTTCTCTTACAGACTAAGAGTATATATTGGTTTGAGGGTGAGGGCCCTTATCACAAGCTCGGAATGTTTATAGGTGTGGAGAAGTTTTTGGCGGGGTTGGACTCTCTTTGGGAGGAGGGGAGGTTGTCTCGGAGTAGACATCTTTCCGCCCCGGAGCGGGGTTATCTCCGGGCTAACATCTTCTCGACCAGAGCCGGTTATCTTGGGGTTGACATGTGTCTGGTCGGGGATGAGTTTAGAATGTTTCTGATTGGAGATGTTATTTGTGGTCTATGGTCGTGCTGACCTTAGCCATTAGGCTGATGCCCTTTGGATTTAGGCGGTTTTTTAAGGTGAACTTTTGAATGAGGGGCTTGTCCAAGATGATGATGCTCCTGCTGTGTCAATCCAGACCCTTCAGTTATAAAAAGGAGGAGGGACGGCATGTTCTTTCTGGCTACTTCCTGCTAACGAGGGGACGGAGAGTTTCCTGGCCTCAGGTTGACTGTAGGAGTAATGCCGTCTGTAGATGTTTTTGGGGAGTTTGTTTGTGAAATGGCCATGATCCTGTCAGTTAAAAATCTTTGAAAAAGGTTAATTAGGCAGGGTAAGAACATTAGTCCCTTGGCCGGGCGCGGTGGCTCACGCCTGTAATCCCAGCACTTTGGGAGGCTGAGACGGGTGGATCACGAGGTCAGGAGATCGAGACCATCCTGGCTAACATCATGAAACCCCGTCTCTACTAAAAATACAAAAAATTAACCGGGCGTGGTGGCGGGCGCCTGTAGTCCCAGCTAGTCGGGAGGCTGAGGCAGGAGAATGGCTTGAACCCGGGAGGCGGAGCTTGCAGTGAGCCGAGATCATGCCACTGCACTCCAGCCTGGGCAACAGAGCCAGACTCCATCTCAAACAAACAAACAAACAAACAAAAAAGAACATTAGTCCCAGGCATAGTATTAGAAGAGAGGCCAGGAATGGGATGACGCGTGCTATGATTTTGTTTTCAAACCAAGAGTCCATTTGGTTGTTTTGGTACTCCCTTAGCTTTTTAGCCTTTTCTTTAAGTTTTTTTAGCAGCGCTTTTTACTCGGCCTGATTGGTTGATATAGAAACAGGCGTGAGCCACCGCGCTGGGCCCCCTCAAAACAATTCTTTAAACTTTTAAAATAGGTAAAAATGTACATTCTTATCCCTCCTTATAATCTTTTTTGCCAAAAGTGTATTTGACTTTCCTTACACACTTTGCACATAAACTGTCTCTTCAACAGTTTTAAATGCATGTTACATTGTTAACTTTTAGCAACCTTTACCTTTGTTGAAAACCTTGATGAGTTTGGGATTTTAATTATGCACTAGGTGTACAGCCTAGGACTTAGACAGAAGTGCAGATAAGAAGTGCTGGCTTGTTTCAGCATTTAGCTCCTTGCGTCCTTGTTTTTAACCTAGCTGCAAAGCAGGCAAGTTGTACAGCTAAGAGTTGTAGTGACATTTTATAAAGCATTCAGGAGGCCTAATCACTTTTAAGTTGCGAAACATTTCTTGCATAAATTTCCTTTTACAAAATTTTTCACGACTTTCCCAGACAGTCTCTGACACTATTGATCGTGGATCCCTTGGAGAGCTATTTCAACAAAGCTCTGTGGGTAACAGCTGATTTGTCATTGAGCTGAGGGCCGAAAGCAGGGGAGCAGGCTTCTGTTTTGAGAAAAGGGAGGGAAGCTGAGAGGAACTTTACAGATGCTGCTCGATTTAGGACGGGGCTATGTGTGGATGAACCCACCCATCCTCATAAGTTGAAAATATCCTAAGTTGGAAATGCATTGAATATGCACAGCCTGCCTTCAGTGTGCTCGGAACATGTACAGTAGCCTATGGTTTGGTGATATCATCTAACACAAAGCCTATTTTATAATAGTCTTGAATATTTCATGTAATTTATTGAATACCATACTGAAAGTGACAAACAGTTGTGTGGGTACTCAGAAGAACAGTTTCTACTGTACGGTTTTGACTTTTGCTCCATCCTGAAGTCGAGCAGTTCTAAGGCAGGGACCATCTGTATTCAGAGGTTGAGGGGAAGAACTCAGTAGGGAGGGAGGCTGAAGATAGAATCGAGCTAACGGAGCAAAGATCAGGAGGTGTGGGGGAGCGGGGAGCTTGGCCCCAAGGGCTAGATGCAGGGCTGGTCTGGAAGAGGAGGAAGGCTAAGAGGCTGCAGGGCTAGAGAATGGATGTAAGGACGGTGCACTGCAAAAGGGCTTGTAGGGGCAGGTAGGGAGATGATCACATTTTAGAACCCCACTTCTGTGAGACAGGCTCAGCAGCCCCGCTCAGAATGGGAGTCACTGGGCTTCAAGTGGGCCCTTGGGGAGGATGGAGACAAGACAGGCTGCAAAAACAAGAAAACAGATCCATGGTAGTACTGGTGCCTAGGTGCATTTCGGCTACACTATAAACTCAGGTTTGCTTCTGCACAACCAAATTATAGCTTGAACATCCCAAATCTGAAAATCCGAAATCCAGAGGGGGCTCCAAGGAGCATTTCCTTTGAGCATCATGTCGGGTGCTCAAAAAGTTTTGGATCTGGGAGCATTTAGGACTTCAGATTTTCACATGTAAAATGCTCAGCCAGTAAGTATAATGCAAATATTACAAAACTTGAAAGCATCCAAAGTTCACAACACTTCTGGTGCCAAGCATTTTGTATTTTACTTTAGCAACACTCAGTTGCCCTGGTACAGGAGCAGGAAAGATGGACAGAGACATTAATTCAAGTTTGGGGTTTCGCCTAGTGGATTCAGCAGGAAGATTGCAGAATAATCAAATTCTTAGTCTGATTCTTGTCTGGGTCAGGAAGGATGAGCAGTCAGAGGGGGCTGACAGACTGACAGGAAAAAAAACCCGCAAATAATGGGACTGGAGGACTCTGTGAGGTCAGAGAGACCTGGTGGTAACTGGAGGGAGGGGAAGGATGCGCAGATTTGCTGAGTTTTTTGCTCTAATCAGGCACTATTAAAGGAACTCACACAAGGCAGGAAATAACATTTACTGCGTGCTTATTGTATGCAAAATACTCAAGTACTTGTGAGGGACTTGCAGAGCACTGCCCCCCCTCCCCCCCCCCCCGGAGCTTCTGGTGTTGTAGGAGGATGGACACATATAAACGCTTTTGTACAACGCAGGATGGTCAGTGCTGAAAGAGAGATGAACAAGGCTCTCTGGAGCCCAGAGGAGGCGTGTGCAGCCAGGAGAGCGTGTTTGAGGCCTGACTCATCTTAGAGTTTGCCAGGCAGGCAGTGTGAGGGCAGGTGCTCTGCCCATAGTGTGGGCAGAGGCAGAGGGGTTGAAGGGAGGCAGCAGGCTGGGCAGTGGCCAGGCGTTGAAGGCAGCAGTGCATGAATGGATGTCTCTTCATGTCCATCAGTATGCAAAAATCTATGTAACAGTTGTATTTTATTTTATGTTTTAACTATGTAAATTATTTTATTTTATATTTTGCTGTGTAAATTACCTTTTGAACATTTATATCATTTCCAGTTTTTTTCTGTCAGGAGCAAAATTGAATAAAATCTCTTCGAAGCTGTATCTTTATACACAAGTTTACTTATTTTCTTAGCATCAATTTCTGCAAGCAGAATTGTGGGTCAAAGGATATAAACATTTTAAATATTTAAAAAACATAATTTGGCCTCCTGAGAAGCAATACCAATTAGCCAACTAACTTCGCCAGCAGTATACGTACCTGAATGCCCGTTCTCCTGAGGCTTTACCGACTCAGAGTATTTTATCTTTTACTTCTGACTTTGAGCTGTTTGTTTGGTGAAATTTAAGTCAGTTTGCTATTTGTTGTTGTTGTTTTTCTAAGACAGGGTCTCATTCTGTTGCCCATGCTGGAGTGTAGTGGTGTGATCATGGCTCACTGCAGCCTGGACCTGCCTGGCTCACGCAATATGCCCACCTCAGCCTTCAGAGTAGCTGGGACCACAGGCGTGCACCACCACATCCAACTAATTTTGTATTTTTTTAGCGACAACTCCTGGCCTCAAGTGATCCTCCTCCCTTGCCCTCCCAACGTGCCAGGATTACAGGAATGAGCCACTGTGCCCCGCCAATTTGCATTTTTTCCTTTTTTTTTTTTTCCCAGACATTGTCTCACACTATCTCCCAGGCTGGCATGCAGTGGCACAATCATGGCTTACTATAACCTTGAACTCCTGGGCCTCATGATCCTTCTGTCTCAGCCTCCCTAGTTGCTGGGACTACAGGCCCATGCAACCACACCTGGCTAATTGTTGTTGTTGAGACAGGGTCTTGCTGTGTTGCCCAGGCTGATCTTGAACTCCTGGGCTCAAGAGAGCCTCCTACCTCGGCCTCCCAAAGTACTGAGATTATAGGTGCCAGCCCTGGTGCCCAGCCCTAATTTGCATTTCAATGAGCCTTTTTTTTTTCCCCTCTCTCCTAGGGGAAACTGGCTCTGGGAAGACAACTCAGATCCCTCAGTACCTGTATGAAGGAGGGATCAGCCGCCAGGGCATCATTGCTGTGACCCAGCCTCGTCGAGTAGCTGCCATCTCTCTTGCTACTAGAGTCTCAGACGAGAAGAGAACTGAACTCGGGAAGCTGGTACCTGGTTCCTTCTTTACTCTTAATACTTCTTGACTAAACAGTTCTCCCACCATGCCCGCTGCCTTTTATTTTTCTAAACAAGACTCCTTTTACATAATGAGCTGCTTTCTTGCCTATTCTTCCGAGAGGTCTTTACAAGCTCCTGAGAGATCAGGGGCTCTATTGGTCCCATGTGCTTTGCTTTCAAAATCTGTTGTCAAGTTGGATAAATGAGTTGTTTTCTTTGAACATCTTAAGCCTTCAGTAACCTCTGTTAACTCTCTTATCTATATGTCTTTCTAGAAACATTGTAAGCGTTATGCCAGTGTATATGTGAGTATTGAGAGTGAGTCTCAGAACTGTGTATAAGACAGACTTGTGTGTGTGTGCTCATTTCACTTAAAAATATTTTAGACATCTTTTCATATCTGTACATAACTTCACATGAAACTTATTTATTTATTTATTTATTTTATTTTGAGACTGTCTCGCGCTGTCACCCAGGCTGGAGTGCAGTGGCACGATCTTGCCTCACTGCAACCTCCGCCTCCTGGGTTCAAGCCATTCTCCTGCCTCAGCCTCCGGAGTAGCTGGGATTACAGGCGCCCGCCACCACGCCCGGCTAATTTTTGTATTTTTTAGTAGAGACGGGTTTCACCCTGTTGGTCAGGCTGGTCTCAAACTCCTGACCTCATGATCCACTTGCCTCGGCCTCCCAAAGTGCTGGGATTACAGGTGTGAGACACCGCGCCTGGCCCACATGAAATTATTAAATAGCTTGAGCTAGAAGGTTAATTTTAAATATTCCTTGTAATAGTTACATTAATTGCAGTTGAAGTAAACTTGACCATGGTCTCTCCCAGCTAGACTGCATGCCTCCCAAGGGAGTAGGAAGGGTTGGTGTTGGTCTTGTTCACTGTGGTGGTGTGAGCGCCCAACTTAGTGCTGGACGCAGCAGGCGCTTAAGAAATGTTTGATGACCGAATAAGTTGTTTCTCTGCACAGGTCGGCTATACAGTGCGCTTTGATGATGTCACCTCAGAAGACACCAGGATCAAGTTTCTGACAGACGGCATGCTTCTGCGCGAAGCAATTTCAGACTCTTTGCTGCGGAAGTACAGCTGTGTCATTTTGGATGAAGCTCACGAACGGACTATCCACACAGATGTGCTCTTTGGAGTGGTGAAAACCGCACAGAAGAGGAGAAAGGAACTAGGGAAACTTCCTCTGAAAGTATGCATAACACACAGAAGGAAACAGGCCTGGCCGGGTGTGGGGGCTGACTCCTGTAATCCCAGCACTTTGGAAGGCCGAGGCGGGTGGATCACCTGAGGTCAGGAGTTCGAGACTAACCTGGGCCAACATGGTGAAACCCTGTCTCTACTAAAAATACGAGAAATGAGCTGGGCATGGTAGTGCATGCCTTGTAGTTCCAGCTACTTGGGAGGCTGAGGCAGGAGTCACTTGAACCTGGGAGGCGGAAGTTGCAATGAGCTGAGATTGCGCCACTGCACTCCAGCCTGGGCGACAACAGTGAAACTCTGTCTCGATTTTTTTTTTTTTTTGAGACGGAGTCTCGCTCTGTTGCCCAGGCTGGAGTACAGTGGTGCAATCTCGGCTCACTGCAAGCTGCGCCTCCCGCATTCACGCCTTTCACAGGCACCTGCCACCACGCCCAGCTAATTTTTTGTATTTTTAGTAGAGACGGGGTTTCACCGCGTTAGCCAGGATGGTCTCGATCTCCTGACCTCGTGATCCACCTGTCTCGGCCTCCCAAAGTGCTGGGATTACAGGTGTGAGCCACTGTGCCCGGCAAAACTCCATCTCAAAAAAAAAAAAAAAAAGGAAAGGAAACTGGCCTGGCCTCTGTGCTTTAGCAGGGTGTTCTCCTCTGCCTGTTCTGCTCAGAGCCTTGGAAGAAAGTTAGCTATAATGGAGGTGGCACAGGCCTCAATCATCTGCTTTTGGGGCTTGAGAAGGACATGGAAAGGCTGTCCCAATGTTTGTTTCTGGTCCTCTTCGTTCTCTCATGCAGGTGATTGTGATGTCAGCTACAATGGATGTGGACCTGTTCTCTCAGTATTTCAGTGGCGCCCCCGTCCTCTACCTAGAGGGTCGGCAGCATCCGATCCAAGTGTTTTACACCAAACAGCCTCAGAATGATTACCTGCACGCCGCGCTTGTCTCAGTCTTCCAGATCCACCAGGTATGGTGTGGGGGGGCAAATTCCCAAAAAGTTGTCTTTTATCTTGCATTTGATAGTGAGAACATTGAGCCTTAAAAAGCAAAGCTACTCAATAAAAAAACAACTTTGTGAGTTGTGTCATCAACATGAATAAGGAGGCCAGGCGCGGTGGCTCACGCCTCTAATCCCAGCACTTTGGGAGGCCAAGGCGGGCGGATCACCTGAGGTCAGGAGTTCAAGACCAGCTTGGCGGCCGGGCGCGGTGGCGCAAGCCTGTAATCCCAGCACTTTGGGAGGCCGAGACGGGCGGATCACGAGGTCAGGAGATCGAGACCATCCTGGCTAACACGGTGAAACCCCGTCTCTACTAAAAAAAATACAAAAAAACTAGCCGGGCGAGGTGGCAGCGCCTGTAGTCCCAGCTACTCGGGAGGCTGAGGCAGGAGAATGGCGTGAACCCGGGGGGCGGAGCTTGCAGTGAGCCGAGATCGCGCCACTGCACTCCAACCTGGGCGACAGAGCGAGACTCCGTCTCCAAAAAAAAAAAAAAAAAAAGACCAGCTTGGCCAGCATGGTGAAACCCCATCTCTACAAAAATACAGAAATTATCCGGGCATGATGGCGGGTGCCTGTAGTCTCAGCTACTCAGGAGGCTGAGGCAGGAGAATCGCCCAAACCCAGGAGGCAGAGGTTGCAGTGAGCCAAGGTCGCACCACTGCACTCCAGCCTGGGCGACAGAGCGAGACTCCGTCTCAAAAAAAACAAAAGAAGCACTTTTTATTTTGCAACCCAGTACGCTATATATATAACTGAAATAAGTCTATGAAACACCGCTTCTGGCCAGGCATGGTGACTCACACCTGTAATCTCAACGCTTTGGGAGGCCAAGGCAGGAGGATCACTTGAGTCCAGGAGTTCAAGACCAGACTGACAACATAGCAAAACCCTGTCTCTATAAAAAATTATAAAAATTATTTTTTAAAAAAGAAATTACGTCTTTTACTACATGTAGGGTACTCTGATATTTTGTACCTCATTTAAAGAAAAAGTTGGCGGGGCACAGTGGCTAACACCTGGAACCCTAGCATGTTGGGAAGCAGAGGTGGGTAGGATTGCTTGAGCTCAGGAGTTTGAGACCAGCCTGGGCAACATAGCAAGACCTCATCTCTACTAAAAATAAAAAATCAGCCAGGTGTGGGGTGCACACCTATAGTCCCAGCTACTTGGGATGCTGAGGTAGGAGGATCACTTAAGCCTGGAAGATTAAGGCTGCAGTGAACTATGATCACTGCACTCCAGCCTGGGAGACAGAGCAAGATCCTGTCTCAAAAAAAGAAAAAATCGACATTGGCCCAATAATGGGTTGCAACTTAGAGTTTTGGTTTTTTTTTTTTTAACTATATTAGGAGAATATTAAAAAATATTTTCTCATTTTATTAAACATTTACTTCAAAAATTTGAATCATTAAATCACTTTTGTTTAATTTGTATAAAATTTAATATTTTTACCTTCCTTTTAGCTTTCTGAGAAAATCCAGAGGCAAACTTTTAAAATTAATTTTTATTTAATTTACTTACTTAAAGACAGGGTCTCATTTTGTCACCCAGGCTGGAGAACAGCGGCATAATCATAGCTCACTGCAGTCTCGATCTCCTGGGCTCAAGCAATCCTCCTGCCTTTGCCTCCTGAGTAGCTGGAACTATAGGCACACACCACTACACCTGGCTAATTTTTTTAATGTTTTGTAGACACGGAGTCTTGCTATGTTTCCCAGGCTGGTCTCAAACTCCTGGCCTCAAGTGATTTTCCCGACTCAGCCTCCCAAAGCACTGGGATTGCAGATGTGAGAAACCGTGCCCAGTCAATTTTTATTTTAAAAGAAGTGATGCATATGGGGTTTAAAGTTTTAAAAAGTCAAGTAGTCTGTAGTAAAAGGCTCATAATAAAAGAATAAGTTGTTTTTACTTCCAACATCCCAGATTTCTGCTGTTTAGGGCACCTCCTTTCAGTCTCTACATATTGCTTTCGTATTTCTAAACTACCTTGCTTTTGCCACTGTTTCTTGAGTTATGGGTATCAGGTATCATATGCTAATTTCTTACCATGGTGACAAGAGTTTAGAATTGCCCCTCCCCAGCCCCCTTTATCTCCAACCTCTTGACAGTTCTATCGTGATGTTTTTGTTTAGGTTTTTGTTTTTGAGGCAGTTTCTTGCTCTGTTGCCCAGGCTGGTCGTGAACTCCTGGGCTCAAGCCATCCTCCTGCCTCAGCATTGGGGAGTAACTAGAACTACATGCTTGCACCCCTGTGTCTGGCCTATTAGGATGTTTTCTGAGTCCAGTATCAATACTAACAATACTATGACCACACATTGCTAGTAGCACACCGTCATCCCTATACCTTGTTTCTTGAACAACACAGTTGTGTAAGCTTTGTAAGTAGCTCTGGCTCATTTTTTTCCAAATGTTCCAACATCTCTCATATGCCAATCGTGAATGGTTCTGTGTTCAAGCACAGTCTGTCTTTTCAGAGTCCCTTATGCTGCTGTTCCAGTTAGGGCAGGTGGCTCTCCTGGGCCTTTGTGCAGTTGTTACCATGACTCTTCCCTTTGTCACCATTTTCCCGTGGTGAAGCCCAGCACTTCCCAGTCTCCTGGCCGCCCTGGGTAGGAGAGGGAACTGGAGGGTTTAACCACGCTATACTCAGACTTTGAGCCAATCCCTGGGTTTTCACTCTCCCACAACATGATGTGTAGTTCCCTCCCTCCAGCCAAGTCATCCAGCCCCTTTCCCCTCTCTCTTTCAAAGTGATTTGAGCCTCCTCATCTCTCATTGTCTTTTCTTTCTGAGACAGTGGCCTTTACTGTCGTTTTCATAGTATTTGGGGAAGAAGTCTGCCTTGTTTAACTGCGGAAAGCAAACGAGATGAGAATTTTTCATAAATGGCAGCTGCTGGTGCATTAGGTTACCCCTGGCTTTGATGAAATCTCCCACTGATGAGGTTTTGACTGATTTAGATTTTGACCTGTTTGTGTATACCTCTGAACAATTGTTCTGTTAATACTGGGCTGAAAAAAAGATACGCATTTTAAAAATATGTATTTTTACATATATACCTAAACATACATATAATTATTAACATTTTTTTCTATTTATTTTGCCATTAGGCTTTCTTTTTTTTTTTTTGAGATGGAGTCTCACTCTGTCGCCCAGACTGGAGTGCAGTGACATGAACTCGGCTCACTGCAACCTCTGCCTCCCAGGTTGAAGCCATTCTTGTGCCTCAGCCTCCCGAGTATCTGGAACCACACCCGGCTAACTTTTGTATTTTTAGTAGAGATGGGATTTCACTGTGTTGGACAGGCTGGTCTCAAACTGTTGACCTCAACCCATTTGCCCGCCTCAGCCTCCCAAAGTGCTGAGGTTACAGGCATGAGCCACCTTGCCCAGCCCATCAAGCACTTTTTTAAATTTTATTTTATTTTTGAGATAGAGTCTCACCGTGTCACCCAGGCTGGAGTGCAGTGGTGCGATCTCGGCTCACTGCAACCTCCGCCTCCCACGTTCAAGTGATTCTCCTGCCTCAGCCTCCCGAGTAGCTGGGATTACAGGCGTGTGCCACCATGCCTGCCTAATTTTTTGTATTTTTAGTAGAGATGGGTTTCACTGTGTTAGCCAGCATGGTCTTGATCTCCTGACCTTGTAATCCACCTGCCTCAACCTCCTGAAGTGCTGGGATTACAGACGTGAGCCACTGCACCTGGCCCTATTTAATTTAATTTAATTTAATTTAATTTATTTATTTTATTTTGAGAGAAAGTCTCGCTTTGTTGGCCAAGCTGGAGTGCAGTGGCGCAATCTGGGCTCACTGCAACCTCCACCTCCCAGGTTCAAGCAATTCTCTTGCCTCAGCCTCCTGAGCAGCTGGGATTACAGGCACCCACTACCACCCCCAGCTAATTTTTGTATTTTTAGTAGAGACAGGGTTTCACCATGTTGGTCAAGCTGGTCTCGAACTCCTGACCTCAGGTGATCTGCCCACCTTGTCCTCCCAAAGTGTCAAGCACTTTACATCAAACAAATTAATATATCTGATCAGAAATCAAAGAAAAATCAGGGCATTAGGTATGTCATTCACACTTGGGTGTTGTTCCCTTTGAAAGTGAGAAACCCCATTAACCTCAACAGCTCAAGCAGTTGTCCAAGTATATAGTGTATGTTTGGGGGCGTGTGAAAGCGCTTTCAACGGCATCACTCATTAAAGGCTCCTTTTCCAGCGTGGCTGCATCTGTTCATTTCCACGGGTTATTTCCCCAAGTTGCCTTCTGTTTTGTCAACCTCATCTTTCAAGGTGCTTACAAAAGGAAGGAAGCCTCATGCAGATTTTATTTGCTTGCCTGATTATGCTTTTCATGGTATTGTTCTTGTTAGAAAAAACTATCTGATGATTTTCCTTCAGAATTTCATCACTTGGCCTATAAACATAGCTGGCTAACTCCTATATATTCCAGTTTTGTTTTTTGTGTTTTTGAGTCAGGGTCTCATTCTGTCGCCCAGGCTGGAGTGCAGTGGCAAGCAGCTGGAACTACAGGCATGTGCCACCACCCCTGACTAATTTTTTAAAAAGTGTTTTGTAGAGATGAGATCTTGCTGTGTTACCCAGACTGGTCACAAACTCCTGGCCGCAAACGATCCTCCCGCCTGGGCCTCCCAAAGTGCTAGGTTTACAGGTGTGAGCCGTCACACCCAGCCTATTACCATTTTATGCACTGCTGGTCGGGGTTCTCTCCAAGCTAGACATCAACTTTTAGGCTCATTTACATTTCCATAGTTAAGAAAAATAACTCCGGGAAACATCATCAATCACCATTGTCTTTTTCTGTGCAAGCTGCAATTCTATCAATGCCTAGTAAACCCACTCTACCTTTTTTACAGGAAGCCCCTCCTTCACAGGACATCCTGGTGTTCCTCACTGGGCAGGAGGAGATTGAAGCCATGAGCAAGACCTGCCGAGACATTGCAAAGCACCTCCCAGACGGCTGCCCTGCGATGCTGGTCCTTCCGCTGTACGCCTCCCTGCCCTATGCGCAGCAGCTGCGAGTCTTCCAAGGGGCCCCAAAGGTGAGTGCACCACCTCTTCTCTCCAGCCCTATTGTGGGCACCCAGATGGATCCACCAGTGAGGTCTGTGTACCTATTACCAGGCTCCAGATAAGGTGTATGGGATGGGCTACCCAGGTACCAGATGAGCGCATTGAGGAGGCGCAGGAGCACGATGCACGGTGACACATACGGCGCTCCTGTGATGGGAGCAGGGAGGCAGTTGTTGGGATGAGGGAGAGTATAATCCAAAGCTGCAAGGTGAATGAGTGACTTCTAAGGACCCGCATAAATTGCATGTGTCCATTGTGGCATTTATTGTGTGCCTTTGCCGTGCCAGGCACTGTGCTAGCTTTGATATCCACTGTCTCTCATCCTCATGGGAACCGGCAAGGCCGGTGATGATCCTATGGGGATCGCGAGGCCCCAAGAGGGGAAGTCACACTTGCTCAAGGAGCGCATAGTAAGTCACTGGCGGGGCCACGATTCCAACCCACATCTACTTGCTTCTGATTCCTGTGCTTGTTCCGCTACATCTCATTGCCTCAAATTGACCTTTAAGACTGCAGCATCCCTTCCCCCGCCCAGTTGAATGACCAACCATTCATATTAATGACTGCCATTAATAATGGAGTCATCTTTTCGTGGTCCTGAGTGACTTGTGGAAATCAATGGTGAGAATATGTTTGAAGGCTTCTGAATCATCCGTGTGTCAATGCGGCTTTTTGGTTTTCTTCCTCCTTTTAGGGCTATCGCAAAGTGATCATTTCAACCAACATCGCTGAAACCTCCATAACCATTACAGGAATAAAATATGTAGTTGACACGGGCATGGTTAAAGCAAAGAAGTATAACCCTGGTGAGAATTTGTAGTTCATGAATGTCTCTCCTGTGTCTAGTGAGCAGCCACTGAAACTGTAGTCCCGCAGTTTTCCCCTGAGTGTTTCATGTCTGTAACTAACAAATTCGGGTGGCAGGCGCCATGAGTGAGATCATCTACACTCCAGGTCCACAAAGGAGTCCTGAGGCGGGTATGTGAGACAGGAAGTAGAGGCAGGAAGGAAGAGCCCAGGTTGAGCAAACCTGGGCACACAGGGTCTGGGACCTGAGCAGAGGGTCTAGTACCCCATCAAAAGTCGGCTGTAAGGCCAGGAACAGCTGGGTGTCAATCAAAGGCTGTCATCAGAAACTATATATATATATATATATATATGGCTGGTTTGAGCTCCCAGGTTTCCTAGGAAGGAACCAGATCCCCTGGCTGGGCTGAGGCATAGAAGGAGCACTGGCTTCTCCTAAGAAGGTGCAGTGGGAAGCTAACTTCAGGTCATCTTGACTCATGTCTGTTTGATACTTCGCTTTATTCCACAGAGGATTGGAGGCCACTGAAATTATTGCTCCCAATTATTGAGCTGAAATGCTCTGGCAAACATTTGAGGGTCCTGACTTCCACAGGTGTATCTTTTTGAGATGACGTTAGGTGAAAGAGTTTGGGTCTCCAGTGCCTGGCTAAGAATATACCTTTATCAAGGAAATGAACCTCATTTACTGCTAGAAAACAGACATCACATTATTTCTGTCTTACAACAGAACTGGGAGGGAGGATAAAGCTCCCAAGTGATTTGAGGCATTGAATTCCGGAGTCATTGATTGATAGTATGACCACCATCCTCGTTTGCTGAAACTGTCCCAGTTTTAGCACCCAGAATCCCACATCCCAGGAAACCCTCTGTCCCAAGCAAACGGGAGGGGTTGGCCATGCTACCATCTAGGGCAAGACCTCGGAAACTCTTCTGGCCCCTTGCTGCACGCGTGAGTTTTCTCTGACGTTTTCGTGACAGATTTCACACTGGGCTTATTGCAAAGCCTTGTTTCACTAGGGCCAAACCGCTGCGGAGCGTCCTGGTTTTGCGCTGTCCATTGTGCTAGCCTTGAGGTTTGCTGGACCCCTGTGTTGCTGAAAGAACCGCTGGTGTGCTTCTTTTTATCAACACTGTAGAAAGAGTTTGTTCATGTGATGAAGCACTAATGGGGCTCACTCTCCGTCCAGACAGTGGTCTTGAGGTGTTAGCAGTGCAGCGGGTATCGAAGACGCAGGCTTGGCAGCGCACAGGGAGGGCTGGCAGAGAGGACAGTGGCATCTGTTACCGGCTCTACACGGAGGAGGAGTTTGAGAAGTTTGATAAGATGACCGTGCCAGAGATCCAGAGGTAGGCACCTGCACTGCTGCCGTTTGACCCCACATCTCTCCTGCTTGCCCAGAGCTGCGGTTTTTACTCACACTCCTCCGTGAGTGGTTCTGACTCACTGGCAGAGGGATCAGGTAATGACCCTGGTCTCACGCTCTTCGCAGGTGTAACCTGGCCAGTGTGATGCTTCAGCTTCTGGCAATGAAAGTCCCAAATGTGCTCACCTTTGACTTCATGTCCAAGCCATCTCCAGGTAAGTGAAATCCACAGTTTTGCAGAAGGTGGGTGAGGAGACAAACAACAACAAATGGACACTTCCAAAAAAATAAAGTATTTTGGTCATCTCCTTTATTTAATTGTGTGGATAACAACATTAGTTATTAGAGAAGCATCTCAAAATCATGAAATGATAGATAAATTGATTGACTTTTAAAGAGACAGAGTCTCACTGTGTGGCCCAGGTGGAAGGGCAGTGGCTACCCACAGGCTCCATCACGGCCTCCAACTCCTGGGCTCCAGCAATCCTCCCGCCTCAGCCTTCCAAGTAGCTGGGACCACAGGCATGTGCCAGTGCTTCTAGCTATGAAATGATAGATTCTGTACTGTCAGCACCATCAATAAGGTTCCTTGACCTCTGAAAACAGTGAAGGTCATCATGTGAGTCCTTGGGATACTACAGAACTGTAATGAAATTGTGCTTTTTTCAGCACAGGGACTGCAAAGATCACATTTCTGTGCCTTTAACTGGAATTTGATCAGTCTCCTGTTCATTGGCAGTTTCTCTACAGTGGAAGAACATAATTGGAAACCTTTATGATCGTAGCTTTGGCACCTGGCCTTTCATCAATGCACCCTTTTCCTTTTCTCCCCCCCGTCCCTTTTCTTAAGTAATGCAATTGGTTTAAAAAAGAAAGAAAGAAAACACAAAGTCAGCAACTGATGGGTGTACAAGGGTCCTGCCCTAATCCTCAGGTTCCTGGTTTTCTTCCCCTAGAACAAGCACTGCAAGTATTTTCTAGTAGACTTCTAGAGCAAATGTATGCCTATGTGAGTATATGTAGTGTGTTTAATTTTATTTATGTATTTATTTATTTATTTATTTGTTTACTTTTGAGACAGGGTCTCGCTCAGGTTGTCCAGGATGGAGTGCAGCGGCACATTCTCAGCTCACTGCAGCCTCAACCTCCCGGGCTCGGGTGATCCTCCCACATCAGCTTCCCGAGTAGCTGGGAGTACAGGTGTGAACCCCCAAGCTGCCCCTTTAGTATGTTTTTGTTTTTGTTTTTGTTTTGAGACGGGATCTCACTCTGTTGCCCAGGCTGGGGTGCAGTGGTGCGACCCCAGCTCACTGCAACCTCTGCCTGCCAGGTTCAAGTGATTATCCTACCTCACCCTCCCAAGTAGCTGGGACTACAGGTGTGCACCACCACGCCCGGCTAACTTTTGTATTTTTTAGTATAGATGGAGTTTCACTATGTTGGCCGGGCTGGTCTCGAACTCCTGACCTTGTGATCCACCCACCTCGGTCTCCCAAAGTGCTGGGATTACAGGCGTGAGCTACCACGCCCGGCCTGTAGTATGTTTTAAACCATAAACAGCAACAAACATTGAGCATTGTTCTGTGCTTGATTTTTTTCCTTCATTGCTAAATCCTTACAAACAAATGAAGATACATAAGGTATAAGGAATGATTAAAATCCAACACCTGTGTACCCAGTTAAAGCCCCCAGGGCATCCCCACCACCCACTTGCCCTCACCTCCTTCCACTCCTTTGGGGTAACCACTCCCACATTTTGTTTGTAATTGCCTTGCTTTTCTTTATCGTTTTACTATATGCGTCTGTATCCCTAAACCACCTGTTTGTTCTTTGTTTATAAGTTTATGTTATTCTTGAGTAAGCTGTTTTCATTCAGCTTGTTCTGTATAGTTTATTTGTGTTGATGCTTTTTCACATTAAGTGCTATTCTATTCTGTGAATAAACCCAAATGAATTTATCCATCCTTCAATTGGTAAATATTGCTTTAAAAAAAAGCAATGAGAAGGCCAGGCGCGGTGGCTCACGCCTGTAATCCCAGCACTTCGGGAGGCTGAGGTGGGCGGATCACAAGGTCAGGAGATCAAGACCATCCTGGCTAACACGGTGAAACCCCGTCTCTACTAAAAATACAAAAAAAATTAGCCGGGCGTGGTGGCGGGCACCTGTAGTCCCAGCTACTCGGAGGCTGAGGCAGGAGAATGGCGTGAACCTGGGAGGCGAAGCTTGCAGTGAGCAGAGATCGCACCACTGCACTCCAGCCTGGGCGACAGAGCAAGACTCCACCTCAAAAAAAAAAAAAAAAAAAAAGCAATGAGAAACACACTGCTTTCTTTCATTTACTACATTTTACAGATCACTCCTTATTGGGATGTATATATTTACTGCGTCCTTAGAAATGCTTTTTTATTCTTTAATAGGTAATTATTTACATGGTTCAAAGTTTAAAAAATATAAAATAGTAAATAGTGATAATGTCCGTCTCACCCCTCCTTGTCTCCCAGCCTCCCCAGCTGGCCCCTGAGACAACCGCTATTTCCACTGTTATGTGTTTGCTTCTGGCGATATAGTCTCTGTGCGATGTATATCTGCAGGTGAAATTCGTAAGTGTAGCATTGCTGGGTCAAAGGTTACACTTTTGATGTGTGTATTCAAAATCTACATATATATTGCTAAATTACAGGTCATTTAAAAAGGGAATTGAGGCCAGGCGCAGTGGCTCACACTTATAATCCTAGCACTTTGGGAGGCCAAGGCAGGTGGATCACCTGAGGTCAAGAGTTTGAGACCAGCCTGGCCAACATGGTGAAACCCCGTCTCTACTAAAAATACAAAAATTAGCCAAGTGTGGTGGCATGTGCCTGTGGTCACAGCTACAGGGAAGTCTGAGGCAGGAGAATCACTGGAACCCAGGAGGTGGAGGCTGCAGTGAGCCGAGATCACACATTTGCACTTCAGCACGGGCGACAGAGCAAGACTCTGTCTCAAAAAAGAAAAGGGATGCCAGGCACAGTGGCTCACGCCTGTAATCCCAGCACTTTGGGAGGCCGACGTGGGTGGATCACAAGGTCAGGAAATCAAGACCATCCTGACTAACATGGTGAAACCCCGTCTCTACTAAAAATACAAAAAATTAGCCAGGCATGGTGGTGGGCACCTGTAGTCCCAGCTACTTGGGAGGCTGAGGCAGGAGAATGGCATGAACCCAGGGGGCGGAGCTTGCAGTGAGCCAAGATTGCACCACTGCCCTCCAGCCTGGGCGACAGAGCGAGACTCTGTCTCAACAAAAAAAGGGAATCAGACTGAAGACAGTGATGTCACTCTTTGACAGGTGTATCAAGGGGGCAGTGGTGGTTATGATGTTTTGCTGTTGTTTGATGTAGAGTTATCAAAAGCTCCCAGAAATACTGAACTGGCTGCAACTTCATTCTTTTTGGACTTTTGGCTCCTTTTTATGTCTCTGTTTCTTTAGATCACATTCAGGCGGCCATTGCCCAGCTGGACCTGTTAGGTGCTCTCGAACATAAGGATGACCAGCTTTCCCTGACTCCAATTGGAAGAAAGATGGCGGCATTTCCTTTAGAACCCAAATTTGCCAAAGTAAATGATACCCTCTCCTCAGTCCCCTTTCTGTACATTACAGTTAGCCATCCCAAAGTAGAACCATTAACCCAGTGCTTCTCGATTAATCTCACTTTTTCTCTTAAATAATTACCAACCCCTAGCTTTTAAATAGCCTTGGTTGATGTTCAGTGTGGGATTCAAAGATACGAAGTCAAGAGCCCTACCCACAAGAAATTCGGAACTCTGTAGGGAAGGCAGTCACCTGTTTTATTTAATATGAAAGAGTGAAATAACACTTATGTACATAGCCATGGTTTTAGAAATGCCTGTCCTTTAACTCCTTAGAAAGGAAGCTGCAAAAGCAATGTACAGAAATAGTGCATTCTAAAGCTAGGAGAAGGCTGGGTTTACACAATTTTAAATTTCGGTTTGCAGACCATCCTCATGTCCCCCAAATTCCACTGTACAGAGGAGATCCTGACCATCGTCTCCCTGCTGTCTGTGGACAGCGTCCTCCACAACCCTCCTTCCCGGCGAGAGGAAGTGCAAGGGGTCCGCAAGAAGTTCGTATCCAGCGAGGGGGATCACATGACCCTGCTCAATATCTATCGGACCTTCAAAAACCTGGGTGGAAATAAGGTGAGCCTTGTCTTGCTCCTGTTCTCCAGAGACAGCCGCTCGTCTCTGCTGCGTGCTTCCCTTTTTCTACTGAAGCCGCACAAAAAGTACACTTTCCCTTTGTGGCTGAATGATCTAAAGAATCACAAAAAGAAAGCCAGACATCATTTCGGAAATGCCTCAGTACTGGGAGGTCACCAAAGAAATGTCACTCCGGTCTCTGCTCTGAACGTGTTTAACTCAGCAAGACTTAAGCGACTCCCAACCCATCAAAACGTAGTTGGAACTTAATAAAGTAATATGTCTAATAATGATAGTGCATACCAATTAATGAGTACTTACTCCGTGCCACGCCCCATGCTAAGCACTTGTTAATGTATGATCTCATTCAGTACAGTACTTCTAAGAAATGAGCACTCTTGTTATTATCTTTTATATTCATGAAACATAGTCATGGAAATGAAGCTTCGTGCAGTTGAAAAACTTGCCCAGGGCCAGGCACAGTGTCTCCAGCTTGTAATCCCAGCACTTCGGGAGACCGGGGCAGGTGGGTCACTTGAGCCCAGGACTTCCAGAGCAGCCTGGCCAACATGGCAAAAGCCCGTCTCTACTAAAAATACAAGAATTAGCTGGGCGTGGTTGTGTGCACCTGTAATCCCAGCTACTCGGGAGGTTGAGGCAGGAGACTCATTTGAACCTGGGAGGCAGAGGTTGCGGTGAGCTGAGATCATGCCACTACACTCTCAGCCTAGGTAACAGAGCGAGACTCTATCTCCAAAAAGAGAAAAAAGAAAGAAGAAGCCTTACATAAATTGGGCATTTCTGTTTTGTTTTCTGTGTCTGTTCATCTCCTTTGTCCATTTTTCTACTGGGTCGTTGGTCTTTTTCTTAATGACTTGTAGAACTTTTAAAATCTATTCTGGAGATTCTAATATTTTACTGGCTATGATGAGACAACTATCCCAATCTCGGAAACTTTAAGTTTTTCTTTAGTTTAAATTATTATTAGTTTTCCTTGTAGTTCGTGTTTTTTGATATAGAGATATTTTCCTACATTCCTTTTTGGCACCTGAAGATTTTCCTCTGAATTCAACTGTGTTCTAAAAATGTTGTTATATTTTCTCTATAGAAATGAGAGGCTTGTTAGCTGGGCGTGGTGGCACGTGCAGGTAGTTGAAGCTATTTGGGAGGCCGAGGTGGGAGGATTGGTTTGTGGTGAGCTATGATTGTATCACTGCACTGCAGCCCAGGGAACAGAGCAAGACCCCGTTTCTATCAACAAATAAATAGTGAATGAGTGGATTGTGATATCGTTCTGTCTCCTATTCAGGACTGGTGCAAAGAGAATTTTGTCAACAGCAAGAATATGATGCTGGTCGCCGAAGTCAGAGCACAGCTGAAGGACATCTGCTTAAAGGTACTGTCCCGGTCCTAGTGTTCTTTGGGTGACAAAGCTGTTACTTCGTTCAAGGTAAACATTTTGAAATTGCTTATTGCTAGTGATTATAAAAGGATTTCTCATTGTAGAAAATTTCACAAATAAGAAAAAAGGAAGTTACCCACAATTCCACATCTCAGTAGTTTAGCCTATTTCCTAACAGCCTATTTTTTATTGTATTTTTTCACATAGTAAATTCTATGTATAATTTGTATTTGGTTTTATAATCTTTATAAGCATTTTCCAATGTTAGAATTCTTCATAAGATTTTAAGTGGGAATATCTCCATTATTTCCTTTTAGATTACCAAAGTCGTGTATAGTTGTTAAATATTTACACAATGCAGAAAATAGTGATTTATAATGTAGAAAGTTTAAAAAGTCTCCCATAATCCTGCCCCTCCAGAGATAACTACTGTTAACAGTTTGGGGTAGATCCTTCTAGAATTTGTTTCTGTGTATGTATGTTTTTGTGCATGTCCTTGTGCCTGTGTACGAGCACACATACACGGATACGTGTATATGAGGTACTGTTCCACAACTTCCTTTCTTCCACATGGCTTCTTTTCTTTTCTCTTCTCGTCTCTTCTCTTTTCTTTCTTTTTTACTATTTGAGACAGAGTCTTGCTCTGTCACCAGGCTGGAGTGCAGTGGTGCCATCTCGGCTCACTGCAACCTCTGTTCACCGGAACCTCTGCCTCCCGAGTTCAAGCGATTCTCCTGCCTCAGCCTCCCGAGTAGGTGGGATTACAGGCTCCCACTACCATGCCAGGCTAATTTTTGTAGTTTTAATAGAGACAGGGTTTCACCATGTTAGCCAGGCTGGTCTCGAACTCCTGACCTCAGGTGATCCGCTCGTCTCGACCTTCCGAAGTGCTGGGATTCCAGGTGTGAGCCACCGTTCCTGGCCTCACATGCATATTTCTTGAATCCTTCTGGGCTTTTGGTGCTGCATGTGTCGAGCTCATTCATTTCAGTGATTTCATAGCATTTCATTGTATTCACTGCAGTTTATTTAAGCCTCTAGTAACGGTCATTTAGGTTCTGCCTCCTGCATATGTGCTGTGGTGTGCACAGAATGAATTTCTAGATGGGGAATTTGGATTTTGTTAGATATTGCCAAAGTGTCCACCACAAAGTGTTTTTTCTTTTCTTTTTTTTTTTTTTTTTTTGAGACAGAATTTCGTTCTTGTTGCCCAGGCTGGAGTGCAGTGGCACGATCTCAGCTCACCACAACCTCCGCCTCCCAGGTTCAAGCAATTCTCCTGCCTCAGCCTCCCAAGGAGCTGGGACTACAGGTGTGACCCACCACGCCCAGCTAATAAAGTGCTGGGATTATAGGCGTGAGCCACCACGCCCGGCCAATTTTTTGTATTTTTAGTAGAGTTAAGGTTTCACCGAGTTAGCCAGGATGGTCTTGACCTCCCAAAGTGCTGGGATTACAGGCGTGAGCCACCACTCCCGGCCTAATTTTTTGTATTTTTAGTAGAGACGGGGTTTCACTGTGTTGGCCAGGCCGGTCTTGAGCTCCTGACCTCAGGCGATCCACCCGCCTCGGCCTCCCAAATTCCTGGGATTCCGGGCGTGAGCCACCGTACCCGACCCATGAAGTTTTATATTAGCTTTTTATTCCCTCTTAGAGTACATGGTGTTTGAAAGGCCTGTCGTGGTATATTTAATGCTTGCATGACACTCCACATTTTATGTCAGAGGTAGAGGGTCTCGTGAGTGTTCTTTTGCTGTTGATCACTGAGACAGTGTCCGTGTTTTTGCTGTCCTCATAGGCACTCTGTGGCGAATGCCTTGTGCCCCCTCAGTGCGGACACTCCTGGGAGACAGTCACAGCCCGTACCCAGGCCTGTGTCTGATGCCAACGGCCTGTAGTTAGCACTAGAGCTGTTTCTTCTCTTAGTAGCCTGTTGTATTCAGTCTTTCACACATTTTTTCAGACTGCTCTTGTATTTGAAGTTTCCTGCCGGTCTGTCTCTTGGCTTCATAGGTTTTCTCAATTTATTATTGACAGTAGAAATGGTGCTTCTCTATTAGTTCTGGATTTAGGACTCTGTAGCGGCCAGGGATACCTCTCATTATATGCCAGGCACTGGCCAAGGTCCTGAGACTTTACAGACCTGCCTGCTCAGTAACTAAGTAATAATCTAGACGGTGACCTGAGGTACACACACTCACGCCAGGAGGCCATCAGATTAAAGTAACCACTCTGAATACTTTTTATGTGATTCCTTATTTAAACTCCTCATTTCTTTTCTTTTTTTTATCTTTTTTAACTCAGACCTTAACCCAAAGGATAAAATCCTCTTTTCAACCTATAAGACTGATTCTGTTGTTATTCCCATTTTACAAAGGATGAAACTAAGCCTAATCAGGTTAAATAGTTTGCCCCAAATCACTCAGCCAGTGAGTGGTAAAGCTGATAGTCTGGAAGGAGAGACCACCACTTAGCCTCTGGGGCTTCCTGGAGGTGGTGACGACTGAGCTAGATCTTGACAGATAAGGAGATAAAAGAGTATCTTCCAGGCCAGGTATGGTGGCTGGCTTATGCCTCTAGTCCCAGCACTTTGGAAGGCCCAGGCAGGTGGATTGCTTGAGGCCACGAGTTTGAAATCAGCCTGACCAACATGGCGAAACCCCATCTCTGCTAAAAATAAAAAATAAGCCGAGCATGGTGGTGCATGCCTGTAATCCCAGCTCCTCAGGAGGCTGAGGCACAAGAATCGCTTGAACCCAGGAGGCAGAGGTTGCAGCGAGCCGGGATCGCGCCACTGCACTCCAGCCTGGGCAACAGAGTGAGACCCTGTCTCTTCAAAAAAAAGTATCTTCTTCATGCATAGATCGGCTGATTGTCAACAACAACAGAAACCCTTGAGCCATCATAAAGGACAAAAGAAAGATTTTTCCAAGGATCGAAAGGTATTTCTGAGAACCTATAGGCAGGAAATAGAGTCACAGGAACTAGAAAAAGCCTGCAGGAGCCAGGGCCGCTGCTTTCTCTGGACCTGCTGCTTCTCCTGCTTCGAGTACCCTCTGCGTGCCTCCTTCCCTCTTCCCCGCTTTACCTCCACATGGAAGTGATGGCTCTGCATGGCCCCTCCTCTCAGGAGCCCAGCAGAGATTGACAGGTTTTCCAGTTTCAAACCTAACAGATGCCTGGAAGAGAGAAGCTGGCCAGCTTAGGTCCAGCGAGTGTGTACCACCGGTTTGTACATCTGTGCCCAGTGGCGTAGGTTACATGACCCGCTCAGCAGGAGCAGTAGAACAAGGACATTGACTGGTGACTGACATTTCCTCTGATGAGACAAAGGCAGCATTTCTACTAAGAGCACCAAATGTGAAGGCACAGAGATAGGAATCATGAAACGGGGCGAGGAAAGAGAAGGCAGCCAACTATGGGGAACCATGGAGTGTCTAAAGAAGAGTGGTGAGGCTGGGCGCGGTGGCTCACGTCTGGAATCCCAGCACTTCGGGAGGCCGAGGCGTGCAGATCACTTGAGGTCAGGGGTTTGAGACCAGCCTGACCAACATGGTGAAACCCCGTTTCTACTAAAAATGCAAAAATTAGCCAGGCGTGGTGGCAGGCGCCTATAATCCCAGCTACTTGGGAGGCTAAGTAAGGCAGGAGAATCGCTTGAACCTGGGAGGTGGAGGTTGCAGTGAGCTGAGATCGTGCCACTGCATTGCAGCCTGGGCGACAGAGCGAGACTCAGCCTCAGAAAAAGAAAAAAAAGAAAAAGTGCGGTGAGAGGAGACGGCGGAGCAGCTCAGGGCGGCTCCTTCATGGCTCCACCTCGGGAACTTTGCATTGTTTTGCAAGGAGCAATGGAGACAGTGTTGAAGGTGTCTGAGTGGACAGAGAGTGGTTTGGGCTGTGCTTTAGGTAGATGAGCCTGGCAGCAGCATGTGAGGCAAATCGGTGTGAGGAGATGGTGAGATGATCAAAGCAAGAGGGAAGGGCCTTTCCTTTCTGGGTGTCCTGATGGAATTTAGGTGAGGGGTGGGTCACGCAGCCTGCCTGTGGTCTGGTGGCTAACGTGAGCGCCTCCCTCCCAGCCCTGCCTTCGCAGGCAGTAGTTTTCCCTGTTTCTGGTCCGCCCTCCTCCAGCTGGGCCTTCTTCCCCTGACCTTGCTGATGCTTGGTGACCACCTCTGAATGTCACAATCCACTTTGTTAGGCTCACAGTGCAGGCTGCATTTGCCCTGGTGGGTCCAGTTTCCCCAACACACTGTGTAGTGCTGACCAGTGTTTGGGGTCGGCTCCATTCCTCGCTTTCTCCCGAAACAGATGTCAATGCCCATCGTGTCATCCCGAGGAGACATGGAGAGCGTCCGCCGCTGCCTGGCTCACAGCCTCTTCATGAGCACCGCCGAGCTTCAGCCAGATGGCACCTATGCCACCACGGACACCCACCAGCCGGTGGCCATCCACCCGTCATCCGTCCTCTTCCACTGCAAGCCGGCCTGCGTCGTGTACACCGAGCTGCTCTACACCAACAAGTGCTACATGCGGGACCTCTGCGTTGTGGATGCAGAGTGGCTGTACGAGGCTGCCCCTGAATACTTTAGGAGGAAGCTGAGAACCACCAGAAACTGAGCCGCCCCAGGATGCCAGGATGCCACCAGAATCGCTGGTCCCTGGGAGCTTGGACTCCAGTCGTCCTCACAGCAGCCTTCCAGGGTGGCACTTAGAGAAGCCTTGGAGTCAGCTGAGCGTGCCTGACTTCCAGGGGCTTGAAAGCATCTTTGCTTCACCTCCTAGGACTGACCCATGTAGACATGGACATATCATTTGTACCTGGAAGCTTCAGAATTATGCTTCTGGTTCTTACTGGGTGACTTTGACTTAATTAACACCTGAGCCTCAGTTTTCTCATCTGCCAAATGGGAGCAATAATAATCCTTATAAAATTGGGTTCATAAAGTTTAGAGAAAATGAATGGAAGGTACCCAGAACTATGCCTGGAGCACGCCACACATACAGGGAGTTGGGAGCCATTAGGCTGAATGTTGCTGCTTTCCACATGATGTGAATTAGGTACAGCAACATCCCAAGTTCTTGTGACTGAGGGCGATTTTCTGGAAGGGCCACAGGAAGTTGCGGAGCTTGGATGTTGCCCTTGGTTCTTGTTTAATGTCCATCTGTATGCAGTTTTAAAATAGAAAACACAACTGACTTCTGTAGAAGTTTCCAGAGGGAGGTGCTGTTATCTCGTACCTCCTGGGATGGTGATCCCTACTGAACACTTATGTCTGGAGGTGGACCACTCTGTGTCTGTCTCCAAGCAGAGACCAGTAAAGGAGCCTCCTGGTCCTCGGTACGTGACCCTGTTGGTGCGTGACCCTGTCAGTGCTTTCAGGAGACATGTAAGCTTCCCGGGTGAAGGCTGATTTAAACCTTCTGAATCCTGTCACACATAGACGTGGGAAACTGGCCTTTCAGTGTTTTGTGCCATGAGGAGTGAGTCTGTACCATTTCAGCTGTTTCTTTTTGGGCAGAGCCCCTGGTCAGAGGTGGTGGGGGTGGGGAGGGGAGAGGGGTACATAGAACCCAGAGAACGTTGGCTTATGCCAGAGACCACACCACATCTGGGCTTGCATTCTTGTATCTTTCTCGGTGTGTGGGCGGAGGGCGGTTCAGTGAAGACTGGAAGGCCTGCTGGAGAAATTCGAAAAGAGCTGGAGCTGTAGCACTTACTCTTGCATCTCATTAATGTGCTATGATATTTTTTCCTTCTTCGTAGGGACTTGGGGACAGTCTGGCTTTGCTGCTTTCTAACTGCTAGGCACCTCCCTCTAAGCCTCATTGTCAGAGGGAATTGGAGGTCTCCACAGTCTCTTCCTGTTCTGACATTCCGAGCAGAGAACAGGCACTCACTGTTCCTCTTAGCCATTTAATTATCAGAAGCCAGTAATCTTTCCCCAGACAATGTTCTGTCCTAGAAGTCGTCGAGCTTTGGCTCTTGTGTTGTGCTTACTTGGTCCAAATACATCTGTGGGTGTTTTGTCATTTCTTACTGAATGAATCGTAGTTATAACCAGGGACCAAACTGCCCAAGAGGCTCTTCAGAGATCACGGACGGTCTCTTTCTGGGAGCTGTGGCCTGAGGGAACAGGCCCCATCCCAGGGTCCCATCTGTCCGGAGTTGGGGATGTCAAGTCCAGCTGAGTCTCTATTTCCAACGCTAGCCACGGTCCTGCGCAGTCAAGCTCTCAGTGTTTAGGGCTCTGTCAGAAATGGTTCTATGTGGGCGAAATAAGATCTGACAGCTCCTAGATACCTTATCTTACTGAATTCTTGAACTTTGAACCAGTTCTTCCACTTACTGACTTGTTACCGTGGCTGACTTTCTGAAAAGTTTCCCACGGTTTTCTTTGTTTTGTTTTTTTTGTTGTTGTTTTTTTGCAGTAGGGGATTAGGATGTTTCGTCCTACTTGGTAAGAAAAAGTACTGTATTTTTAATAAATCATTCACAGTGCTGGTAAAAAAAAAAAGAAAAAGAAAAAAAAGAAAATTGTGGAGTGGCTGGGCGTGGCGGCTCACACCCATAATCCCAGCACTTTGGGAGGCCGAGGCGGGCAGATCACCTCACGCCTGTAATCCCAGCATTGGGATGGGAGGCCAAGGTGGGTGGACTGCTTGAGAAGTTCAAGACCAGCCTGGCCAACATGGCAAAACCCCGTCTCTACGAAAAATACAAAACTTAGCTGGGTGTGGTGGCACACGCCTGTAATCCCAGCTACCCAGGAGGCTGAGGCACAAGAATTGCTTGAACTTGGGAGGCAGAGTTTGCAGTGAGCCAAGATTGCGCCACTGCACTCCAGCCTGGCCGACAGTGCGAGACTGCCTCAGAAAAAAAAGAAAAAACTTAGGGTAATTTATGTCCAGCTTAAGTACCTGAACAGTTTCCAGAAATGTGTATTTTTTTTTCTGAGAGGCAAAGGATGTAAACAGCTTCTAAGTAGCTTTAATGTTTCTGTACAGAAATATGTTTATCACTGTAACATTGTGGTAGAGTTTTAATACAGTATTTAGTTTTTTATTGGGCTTTTTAAAAAAGTTAACTTTTAACATAGCTGCTCAGGGATTAAATCAGATTGGAAAACCCATTCTGACTCCATATATTACTACAAAGAAATACATCGTTGTTTCTATTGAACTGCAAGGAATAGTACACTTTACACTTAAGAAAGTTAAATGTTTCACAGTAACATTGCAATATAACCTTCAGCTACTCTTTTTCAATTGGTAAAATCTGATGGTATGATACCTCTTTGCCAACCTACGAAACCCATATCTGGAAGAGTCACCAGCTCCCGTGAGCAGCTTCATGTAAATAGATGCACTCCAAGCAGATTGCATGCCTCAGGTGTTTGTCTTCTAGTAATCATGGAGTATGCAACACCCAGAGTAACACGACAAGGGGCAGGACTGCAAACAGCAGGTCCTGCTACAAACCCTTAATGCTGCATTGCTGCCAGTTGTAAAGAAATGCCTGAATGGAGGCGAGTTTTGCCCTGTGGGTAAAACTGATGAAGTACTGTACTGTCATATATAAATCCACTAAATCCAGCTACCAGGAACTGCCTGGAACTATGGTCATGCATTTTTTTTTTTTCTTTAAAGACCAGTGTGATAGCAGGCCATGCATCTGAGATACGATATTCCTTGGTAACTAGAGGGAGGAAAAAAAAATCAAATAGGTTCAGGCGTATGTTGTATTTTGAGAGTCTGGTTTTATCTGAACAGAAATAACTCTACAGAAAGCTCCTGTAAATAATGCTCAAATTTGCACTCGACGATCAAATCCATTAAAAATGAATCTTGTATATGATGTGTATGGCTTGTTTCTTGGGTCTCTTTTCCATTATTCATAGAAAATTATTTAGAAAATATTAAGTGTTAGTCTTATCATGAGTTAGTAAGACATACCTTCTTAGTAGCTTGTATGTCCTGTACATCCTGGGAAGCTAGGATTGTTGGTTCTTAATCTAAATCTGAACCCCATCTCTGGGTTATATGAATTTAGTGGAGCAGCTCACACAACTCAGGGAAACACCTTTACCAGTAAAAGATATGACCAAGGACACAGATGGAGATGAGCAGGGTGGGGAATGGAGAAGAAGCTCCGAGCTTCCATGCCCTCCCTGGGCCACCACCCTCCAGGAACCTCCATGTATTCAGCTATCAGAGGCTCTCCAAACCCTGTCCTTGGGTTTTTATGGAAGCTTCTGGACATATCTAAATGATACAAGCCGGCTTCTTGTCCCCAGAAAAATGATGTTGCATTAGAACTTGGATGCAGGGTCGGAGGTGCAGAGAGGGAAGGTCACAGAAATTACTCATGGATCCTGCCCTTCAGGATGTCACAGTCTGGTTGGGTTTAACCTGGTTAAAACCAGCAATGCCGGGAGGTTTCTGTTAAAAAGAGAATGAAGCACAGGGGCTGCGTGCGCACAAGCATGAGTTCCGAGCCGATGGAAAAAAGGAGGTTCTAGAGGGCCTCTTTCAGGAAACCCTGACTTTTTCCTTTGCTCTTACAACAATCAGCACAGAAGAGTTCTGTGACCAAAGGTTTGGGTTTTTTCCCTCCACACTAAGCAGCAGACACCAGCTGGGTGTCCTCCAATTCAATCCCAACATTATCTACCTGGAGATAGTGTCAGATCCCATGAGACAGTGTCAGATCCCATAGGTTGAGGGCTCAGTCCCCAAGACCGCCCCCACCTTCAGACAGCAATGGCAAGTCTGGGCCTCTGAAACTTCCGACCAGCCCGCTTCAAATTGGGGTTCCCACGACCCCCTTCTTTGGGTTGTATTAACTCACTGGAGCAGCTCACAGAACTCAGGGAAACACTTTTACCGGTTTCATATAAAGGATATTACCAAGGATACAGATGAGGAGATGAGCAGGGTGGACAGTGGGGAAGAAGCTCCAAGCTTCCTTGCTGTCCCTGGGCCACCACCCTCCAGGAACCTCCAGGTATTCAGCTATCGGAGGCTCTGCAAACCCTGTCCTCATGGGTTTTTATGGCAGCTTCTGGACATCAGCATCCCTTCCCCCAGGGTATAGGGTGGGACCTTCTCTGGGAAGGGACTTAAGACCCATAATCAGAAATGTGGGAGATTAGAGTCCTGCATTGGGGCGGGTGAAAGGAGGGCAGGAGAAGGGGAGAGAGGCTGTTTCCTGAGGCCTAACACACCCGACATTATCATAGAACGCTGTAACAAGGGCTATGGGAGTTAGGACCCAGGAACTGGGGATGAAAACCAATAAATACATAATATCATAACACCACAGCCGCCTAGAGGAAAGTGACCGTGTAAGGGGCGGGTGAGAGCTGGGGAAAGACAAGAGTGCATTCCACGCAGCCCAAAAGCCTGGCGTGCCTTGAAAACAGTAGGTGGAAGCGGCCACTAGAGAATTAAACAGCTTCAGACAGCGGACTCAGGCCAGCACAGCAAGAAGGCTCCGGAAACCGGATTCGAGGCTTCCCGGGCTGCACCGGAGGTCTCCAGCAGAGGGCGGGATTCCGCCAGCTGGCCTTAGGTCCTCAGTGCGCCGGCGCGGGAAGCGCTTCCGGGCAAGGGCGGGGCTTCCGGCGGCGCGCTAGGTCGCGGGGCATCTGGGCCTGGGTTGTCCTTTGCATCCGCACGTGTTCGCAGTGGATTCCGCGATGCTACCTCTGCTGCGCTGCGTGCCCCGTGTGCTGGGCTCCGCCGTCCCCAGCCTCCGCGCTGCCGCGCCCGCCTCGCCTTTCCGGCAGCTCCTGACGCCGGGGCCCCGGCTGTGCGCCCGGCCCTTCGGGCTGCTCAGCGTGCGCGCAGGTTCCGAGCGGCGGCCGGGCCTCCTGCGGCCTCGAGGACCCTGCGCCTGTGGCTGTGGCTGCGGCTTGCTGCACACTGAAGGTGAGGTTCGCGCACGCGGGCCAGGGGTGTGGTTTGCGGTTCACGGAGGGAAAAAGACCAGGAGTGGGGCCTGCTACCGACCTCCGAGGTCTGGGATATTTTTCCATTGATTGGCAACCAGCGGGTTAAACCCACGTGTGATCATATTCCCCCCACCTCCCCTATCCACCAGTTTCATTTTTTGTTAGTAGGGGATGAATAAAATTAAATACTAGAGGGTACCTTTATCCTTAGTCTTATTCTCTCGAAAGTGGACCTTTGGGAAAGCCCAAGGTCGTGTTTGAAAATAGCATACGATATAACTATCGTTTGGCAAGTGGAAGAGGATGATCGGAAATTCTTCTGCTTTATAGTGGAAAGTGGTAATGCGTTCATTGTTGGAAATCACTTTTCCAGCATCAGGCTCAGCTTCCCACTAATATTATGGTATTTTTACAGATAAGGAAACTGAGGCTTCTAGAGTAACCGTAATAGCAGAGAGATTAGAAATAGTCCAGGTTGGCTCAAGCCTTAATCCCAGCACTTTGGGAGGCCGAGACGGGCGGATCACGAGGTCAGGAGATCAAGACCATCCTGGCTAACACGGTGAAACCCCGTCTCTACTAAAAAATACAAAAAACTAGCCGGGCGAGGTGGCGGGCCCCTGTAGTCCCAGCTACTCGGGAGGCTGAGGCAGGAGAATAGCGTAAACCCGGGAGACGGAGCTTGCAGTGAGCTGAGATCTGGCCACTGCACTCCAGCCTGGGCCACAGAGCGAGACTCCGTCTCAAAAAAAGAAATAGTCCAGGTTTCTGGCCGCGATAACCAGGGTAATAGTTTTATGTTTTAGACTAACTGGCTCTCATTTTTATGTATATGGATTTCTTTTCTAGGAGACAAAGCTTTTGTTGATTTCCTAAATGATGAAATTAAGGAGGAAAGAAAAATCCAGAAGCATAAAACCCTCCCTAAGATGTCTGGAGGTTGGGAGCTGGAACTGAATGGGACAGAAGCGAAATTAATGCGGAAAGTTGCCGGGGAAAAGTAAGTACTGGTCTGGGGATCCCAGGGCACCGACTCCCTTAACCCTGCAAGACCCGTCCTGGGTCATCCCTGGAAGAGCCTTGAGTTCAGGTGTGGATAAATGGTTTTCAAGAGAGTGAAGGATTCATTTGGACAGCTTCATAAGGTCCAGGCAGTCCATTCACTGAACAAAATTTGCTGTGAGCTGGTTACTAAGGAGACAAAAATGTAGCGCAAAAAAGTACTGACAGAATCAGTTTGATCTCTGATTTACAGCCCTGATACAGTAGCACCCTGCTCTCTCTAATGTTTAGCATAGGTGAAAATGCAAGGTATGTAACTTACATGTAACAGGATGGGGTTCCACTGTAGTAAGGGCTGCCATCAGAGGCGGGGAGTTTGTGACCTAAGTCAGGTGCCCCACCTTCTCCTAAACTGTTAGTGTTTATACTTTCCTGCATCATAGTCATCCATAGTCTCATTACACAGATAAACATTTGGCATCTTCCAGATTTTTAAATTGAGGCTGGGCACGGAGGCTTGTGCCCGTAATCCCAACACTTTGGGAGGCAGAGACGGCAGATCATGAGGTCAGGAGATGGAGAACATCCTGGCTAACACTGAAACCCTGTCTCTACTAAAAATTAACGGTGTGGTGGCAAGCGCCTGTAGTCCCAGCTACTCAGGAGGCTGAGGCAGGAGAATCGCTTGAACCTGGGAGACGGAGGTTGCAGTGAGCTGAGATGGCGCCACTGCACTCCGGCCTGAGGGACAGAGCAAGACTCCATTTCAAAAAAATAATAAGTAAATAAATAAATTAAGTTGAATTTTCTTTATAATTGACCTTATGATGTATATATAATTTTTTTAAATCACAGTTTTAATGTGATTTAATTTATATGGCATAAAATTTACCCATTTATTGAAGTTTATTAAATTAAGTGGTTCTTAGTCCTCACAGAATTATGCAGCGGTTACCACTACCTAATTCTAGAACATTGTTGTCAATCCCCAAACAATACCTATTAGCAGTCACTCATTATTCCTCCCTCTAGCCACCCCAGGTAATCACTAAGCTACTTTCTCTATGGATTGCCTCTTTCGGACATTTCATATAAATGGAGTCATACAATTTGTAGCTTCCTCCCCACCCCACGGAGTCTTGCCGTCACCCAGGATAGAGAGCAGTGGCACAATCTTGGCTCACTGCAGCCTCTGCCTCCCAGGTTCGGACAATTCTCCTGCCTCAGCCTCCTGAGTAGCTGAGATTACAGGCATGCGTCCGGTTAATTTTTGTATTTTCAGTAGAGACGGGGTTTCGCCATGTTGGCCAGGCTGGTCTCAAACTCCTGACCTCGTGATCCGCCCTCCTTGGTCTCCCAGAGTGCCGCGATTACAGGTGTGAGCCACCCTGCCCAGCCTGTTTACATTTTTAATTGTTGGGTTGTAAGAGTTCTTTAGTTTTGACCGGGCGCGGTGGCTCACGCCTTTAATCCCAGCACTTTGGGAGGCCGAGGCAGGTGGATCACAAGGTCAGGAGATCAAGACCATCCTGGGTAATGCAGTGAAACCCCGTCTCTACTAAAAATACAAAAAATTAGCCAGGTGTAGTGGCGGGCGCCTGTAGTCCCAGCTACTCGGGAGGCTGAGGCAGAATGGCGTGAAGCCCAGAGGCAGAGGTTGCAGTGAGCCGAGATCACATCGCTGCACTCCAGCCTGGGTGACAGAGCGAGACTCCGTCTCAAAAAAAAAAAAAAAGAGTTCTTTAGTTTTTCTGGGTACAATGATCTTATCAAATTAATGATTTGCAAGTATTGTTCCCCATCTTGTGGGTTTTCTTTTCACTTTCTTTGTAATGTCCTCTGACACAAAAGTTTTTGATTTTGAGGATGTTCAGTTTACCTATTTTTTTGGTCGCTTGTGCTTTTTTTTTTTTTACTTCTAATTCACCAAGTGCAACCTGTGCTTTTTTAGTGTCACGTCTAAGAAACCACTGCCTCGCCCAAGGTTGTAAAGATTTATGCCTTAATTTTTTCAAAGAGTTTTCTAGTTTTAGCTCTTAGTTGAGGTCTGTGATTCATTTTGAGTATGATGTGAAGTAGGGTCCCAATTCTCTTGGCTATTGTGTAGTGTGATTTTTCCCTACACAGGTCAATTGTGTCTTCTGTAATCTCACCTAAAAACCATTTATTTGCACAAGGTTTTCATAGCTGTTTGGGGGCCATTAAAAATAATGCTCTGACGAACATCATTCCATTTCTGTGCCCAGGAGCTTGGTCAGCACAGTTGGAATCAGACAGATTGTGTCAACCTCAGACTGCCTCTGTTACTATGGAAAGGTGACTTCCTGGCAAAGCAGCTAGTTAGCACAAGTCGAGGGGGCGGCACTTCATGGAACTTGTATGGAACGGTGCCTGCCAGAGTTGCATAGTCCAGCGGTTCTGGTTCTAAACTTTATCTCCCAGGAATTTTGACTCAAACTTTGGGACATGATTTGTCAGGTGTGGATTCTTGCACCTTAAAATTGTCGCTAGTTGGTGTCTCTGGCCTGCTTTGTGATGATAAAACTTCCCACAAGTACTCTGAAGGATGACTGTCTACTACAGCCTTTTTTTCTTTGTGAGGCATCCCCTTCCCGAGGCCAGGGTTGCTCTCCGTGTTTAACAGATGCAACCCTCCATTGTTCCTTCTTCCTTTCCTTGCAGGGCAAATTTTCTTAAGGGAAAAGGCTCTTAAAGGGGCTTCTGTTCCATCTCACCAGCCTCCTAGGTCCTTGCTTTTACCAAGGGTTCCTTGGAAAGACCAGGGTGGGCAGTGTCAGCTGGCTGTGGCCATGAGATGCCCAGTCAACACATGGCAGTGAGCCCTGGGGTACTGGCCCTGTTGGGAGTAACCCATGCATGACTTGTTTGGCTGAGATAAACTGAGGCCAGCTGTGGCTTCCAGCAGCTGGTACATGGTAGGCACACTTGAGACCTGCTGAATCACTCAGGACTGGATGTAGGCACCAGCCTTGTTTGAAGTTCTGCATAGAATTCAGCCAGCTAGGATAGAGACATTGTTTCAGTACACCTTTGTAACTGTAGCAGACCTCCATGTTTGTGTGTTAACCTACTCAGTTAAAATGATGCCTTTGTTATGTTTTCTCTTGCCCTTTTAGAATCACTGTCACTTTCAACATTAACAACAGCATCCCACCAACATTTGATGGTGAGGAGGAACCCACGCAAGGGCAGAAGGTTGAAGAACAGGAGGTAAGCTTAACACTATGATCAGCTTTTACCTCCATTCTGACAGGCTGTCCCTGGGACTTAAAGAAGGAGTGTTTTTCTTTGCTCTTTCAAAAAAAAAAAAATTTTTTTTCCTCTAAGGCCAGGCGCGTGGCTCACGCCTGAATCCCAGCACTTTGGGAGGGCAAGGTAGAAAGATCCCTTGAGGCCAGGAGGACCAGCCTGAGTAACATGGCAAGACCCTGCCTCTACGAAAGTTTAAAAAAAAAAAATTAGCTGGGCATGGTGGCACGACTGTGGTTCCAGCTATGCAGGAGGCTGAGGCAGGAGGACTCAGTGGTTTCTGGCCAGCTTTAACAGGACTGTGGCCCTCTTCCTTTTCCCAGGGGCAAAATACGTTGCTGTCTGCTAGCTCAGGCTTAGTAGTTTGGCTAGAAAGGAAACGAAATGTTCTCAGCCTTTCCCATGATAGGGAGTTTTGTTGTTTTTGAGAGAAGGTCTTGCTCCATTGCCCAGGCTGGAGTGCAATGGCACGATCTCTGCCCACTGCAGCTTCCACCTCCCACGTTCAAGCGATTCCCCTACCTCAGCCTCCCCAGTAGCTGGGATTACAGACATGTGCTACCACACCTGGTTAATTTTTGTATTTTTAGTAGAGACAGGGTTTCACCGTGGTTGCCAGGCTGGCCTCAAACTCCTGACCTCAAGTGATCCAGCCACCTTGGCCTCCCAAAGTGCTGGGATTACAGGCGTGAGCCACCACGCCCGGCCTATGGGGAGATTTTTTATATTGGAGGTTATCATTTGGTGTGTTTGCATGTGTGGAATGTTCCTAACATATCAGTCACAAGCTGGTAATACACAACAGCCATTTAACCAAGATAAGAATGCCAGGGGCAGGCTAGGTGTGGTGGCTCAAGCCTGTAATCCCAGCACTTTGGGAGTCCGAGATGGGCAGATCACAAGGTCAAGAGATCGAGACCATCCTGGCCAGCATGGTGAAACCCCATCTCTACTAAAAATACAAAACTTAGTTGGGTGTGGTGGCAGGCGCCTATGGTCCCAGCTACTCAGGAGGCTGAGGCAGGAGAATTGCTTGAACCCGGGAGGCGGAGGTTGCGATGAGCCGAGATCACACCACCGCACTCCAGCCTGGCAACAGAGCAACACTCTGCCTCGAAGAAAAAAAAAAAAAGAATGCCAGGGGCATAAGAGACTTTAACTGGATCATGCCTACTCTTCAGACATTTTAGGAAGTGCTGTGCCCAGCCTGGTAACCAGCCAGTACGAGGGCCACAGAGTCCCTAGACCTTCTGCCCAAAAGCCGTCAGTACAGTGTTGGGTCATGACCTGGTGTGGATGGCACAGCTCTCTGGTGTGCTTCTTTCCCAGCAACCCCAACTAGCATCTCCCTGACATTGGACCCAGTCTGCTCCCAGAGCTCCACATCAGAGGAAAAGCTGCTGCTGGTACTCAGCCATAAGGATGGCCAGGTTCCCCAGCCTTTAACCCTGGTCCCTTATGAAGACTCCTGGAACAGTCAAGCTGGAATCTTGAAACTTTAGGAAAGCTTTGCAGTGTATGGGTGGAGGAAAAGGCTTGGAATGTTAAGGAACTGATATAAACTCAGTTAATTGGCACATAGCTGAGGCGGCTAGTATCCAGATTTCTTAATTGAAAATCCAGTGTGTTACTTAAACAAGCAGGGTGCCAACAGAAGTGAGATCAAGCTCTTCATTTGGGAATAGTATGGCATAAGACTATTAAAATGGCTACATAACATCCTAATGGTGGCTCTGAGACACTCTGAACAGAGATCCTTGATCCAGGCATCCATCTCCTTCCAGCAGTGGCATGTACTGACTTCTTGTTTTCCCAGCCTGAACTGACATCAACTCCCAATTTCGTGGTTGAAGTTATAAAGAATGATGGCAAGAAGGCCCTTGTGTTGGACTGTCATTATCCAGAGGATGAGGTATGCAGGATGGAGTGCTAGCCCCTTGGCACCCCTGGGGAGCACAGCGTGTCCCTTGGGAACTTCCTGTCCCTTTTAGCATAAATTTAAAGACTTTCTAGCTTAGACCAGCCCAGCAGGGGGAGAGGGGAGAGGGGAGGGGAGTGTGGGAAGAGGGTTAAAACCTGATCAGTTTCATGCTGTCAGTGGCCCCCTTTCTTCACATTAGTCTGGCTTATCCTGGAGAACCCTTCAGTTTCCCCAAATATTGTTTCTTCTCAGGTTGGACAAGAAGACGAGGCTGAGAGTGACATCTTCTCTATCAGGGAAGTTAGCTTTCAGTCCAGTGGCGAGTCTGAATGGAAGGATACTAATTACACACTCAACACAGATTCCTTGGACTGGGTGAGTGCTTGATAAGATGGGGGAACCTTTTGGGCCTTGGAAGGAAGGGTCCTAGTTCAAGGGGAGAAACAAACATTTTAATGTTCACTACAGATTTTTTTTTTTTTTAACTAGTAAATGTTGTTCTTTGCAGGCCTTATATGACCACCTGATGGATTTCCTTGCGGACCGAGGGGTGGACAACACTTTTGCAGATGAGTTGGTGGAGCTCAGCACAGCCCTGGAGCACCAGGAGTACATTAGTTTTCTTGAAGACCTCAAGAGTTTTGTCAAGAGCCAGTAGAGCAGACAGACGCTGAAAGCCTTAGTTTCACGGCAGGCTCTGGCCAGTGAACAAGTCCTACTCTGAAGCTAGACATGTGCTTTGAAATGATTATCGTCCTAATATCATGGGGAAAAACACCAAATTTAAATTATATGTTTTGCGCTCTCATTTATTATCATTTTTCCTGTACAAATCTATTATTTCTAGATTTTTGTATAACATGATAGACATAAAATTGGTTTATCTCCTCCAAAGCAGTGTATCTGTTCTATTCCTCCCGCTTCAACCTGCGTCACAAAAGACCAAGAACAGAGATGTCGGAAAAGTTTTTTTTCCTTCAGGATCGGTTAAAAGTTTCAATACAAAATAAGTTATAAATAAAAGGCTAGTATGTACAAGGCTCCTCAGGGAGTGCGTTGTCTTCAACCTGTAGAATGATGTGAGTCCACGCTGGCTCTAGAGGATCACAGCCCAGGTATCACAGGCCTAGGTTTAAACAGGAGAAGAATTAGCTTAAATTGTATTCTAGTCATGAAAGATACCTGATACATCATTAAAAGTTGTAATCAATGAGAATGCTACACATTAGATGAGGTCTCCTGAGTCCAGTTTGAATTAGTTCAGTCGTGTAGTTTGTCATGAAGGCCACCGACGACTGCCCCTCTTTGGCTTTGCTGGACCTCTGTCCTGCAGCCTTCAAACAACTGTCCTGGAAACCGTCAGCATCAACAGTCTTCAAGCTAAGATCAGATCCTGCAGATGAACCAATGAAACATCCTCACCTCAGGAAACTACTGACCACAAAGATTGTATTCAAACTCTTGGTAGCTTGGAGCTTTTAGAGCCCAGCAGGAAGATGAGACTCCAAGTCTACACAAGATTGAAGCAGGTACGTATCACAGGGGAGGTACCAACCATGCATGATCAGTACGGGCAGAAAACATGTCTTCCCTTGATCTGTAATATGATCAGTAAGCACCTGAGTGTAAAACTGGCTCCCGACTCCTTGGTGGCTCTGCCCCTCCACTATGCTGAGGAATCGTCTGTCCTTAACCCATTTATGCCAGAGGTTGCAAATTTTTTTGTGTGAAAAATCAGACCTTGGCGATGACCTTGAGCAGTAGGGGATCCGTAACTCCCCCAGGCTTAGCGTTCCACTAACAAAACAGTAGGCATAAACAGGTTACCCTTGTTTCTTACCACTTTCACAGGTAATATATTTGGCTTTCTCTAAAAGACACTATAACCCTGCTAATAGGTGGTTTAGCATATTCTATCCCATGACCACCACCTGAGCACGGTCACATCCAAAATATTCCTAAGTCTTGTAATATAGTGCCATCTTCTGTAACCCATCCCTATTTTCCATCACATCCTCAGCCATCTGTGCTGAGCTTCCCCACATCCTGGCTTCACTGGATTCTAACACAATGGTCTTTGAGTCCCCCTTAAGTGAAAACCAAAGGTCTAGTGGAACTAGAGCATTCCAAATGTCTACCTTTCCAAATGTTGAACTCGGAACCTACAGAATACAATTTTGTCTTTCCCCCTCCTGTTTCTTGTTTTTTGTTTTTTTGAGGCTCAATCTCGCTGTCACCCAGGCTGGAGTGCAATGGTGCCATCTCAGCTCACTGCAACCTCCACCTCCTGAGCTCAAGCCATCCTCCCACTTCAGCCTCCCGAGTAGCTGGGGTACAGGTGCGAGCCACCAGGCCCAGCTAATTTTTGTATTTTTAGTAGAGACCAGGTTTCACCATGTTGACCAGGCTGGTCTTGAATTCCTGGCCTCAAGTGATCCACCCACCTCAGCCTTCCTAAGTGCTGGGATTACAGGTATGAACCACTGCGCCTGGCTGTGTTTCTCATGTTTGCTGTGAACCCCGCCTCCCCTCACCCCTCACTTACCCAACAATGGTCTCCCTGCCTGCCCCAGAGCCAGCACTGACAACTATGATCTCCAAGACTGCTACACAGCACACACCTTCCAAACCTCACCTCCCACTTAGCTTCACTGCTGCTCTGAGCCACAGGACACTGACGGTTAGGTGAGTGGATAACTGGGGTCCATAATTATATGCTGAGCTGAAGCTGTACACTTGGCAATTAGGCAATCTTCCGCTTACCCTTTAATTGCCCTTCTCGTCCACCCGCCAGCATTTGGTCTTTCACACTCAAGGGGACTTTCATACTCGAGGAGCTGTAGACGCCAGCTCTGCTACCATTATAATCTGTGTAGATGACTCACTGTTCACCTTACTAAGAAGCCAAAGCCAGCTGACCTGTGCCCTCTTCAACTCTCCTCCCTCCACCTTAACTCATCTGTACAAACATATTAAGCACGTATTTATTAATATATGCCAAGCGCTGGGAGTAGAAATAAATACGGGCCATGCCCTCAAGGACAGACATGAGCAGGTAACTGCAACACTGTTATGGATGACACGGCATGAGGTATGGTGGAAGCCCAAGGAGAGACTGGCCAATTCCCCTCTGCCAGCCCTCATTAGGTTTGTCGAAAATGGTAACACAGTCTCCAAAGGAACGGGCTTCTCAGGCTGGCCAATTCTTTTTTTGTTTGGTTTTTGTTTTTTGAGATGGAGTTTCGCTCTTGTTGCCCAGGCTGGAGGGCAGTGGTGTAATCTCCGCTCACTGCAACCTCTGCTTCCCGGGTTCAAGCGATTCTCCTGCCTCAGCCTCCCGAGTAGCTGGGATTACAGGCGTGTGCCACCACACCTAATTTTTTTGTATTTTTAGTAGAGACAGGGTTTCATCATATTGGCCAGGCTGGTCTTGAACTCCTGACCTCAGATGGTCTGCCTGCCTCAGCCTCCCAAAGTGTGGGGATTACAGGCGTGAGTCACCGCACTTGGCCACCAATTCTGTTTTTGAGAGAGTCTCACTCTGTGTCCCAGGCTGGAGTAGCGGCACAATCTCAGCTCACTGCAACCTCCGCATCCTGGGTTCAAGCAATTCTCCTGCCCCAGCCTCCCGAGTAGCTAGGATTACAGGCACCCACCGCCATGCCCAGCTAAGTTTTGTATTTTTAGTACAGATGGGGTTTCACCATGTTGGCCAGGCTGGTCTTGAACTCCTGACCTCAGGTGATCTGCCCACCTCAGCCTCCCAAAGTGCTGGGATTATAGGTGTGAGCCACCGTGCCTGGCTGAGACTGGCCAATTCCTTGTGAGGAATCAGGTGAATGAAGTACATGGCATATTGTAGTGCTCAATAAATATCTGTGCAAATGATGCTTAAATGTAGTGGGAGGAGTCAAAGGCATTCAGACAGAACAGCATGAACAACAGCACAGAGGCCTGAAAGCACTGCATATTTGAGCATCTGCAACCAGTGCCGGAGAGCTGGAACAGAAGGGGACATATGCCTGTAGTCAACAGGAAGTAGTGAGGTGTTTTATTTAAACTTTCACCTGCTGTGTCTCTTTCCACATAAGCTGATGGAAAATGGCTTCCTTCCACCAAGGTCAGAGCCTGGAGCAGGAAACAGCAGGGGCACTGGAAGCACAAAGACCTGGGGTCTAACACCAGCTCTATCGCTTATTAGTAGTAAAATTTTGGCCAGATGACATCACTTCTTTGAATCTGTTTCCTATTCCTAACAGGAACTATCTTCTCCCTCATGAACCTAATGCTCCAGCGAAGTAGAACAAGATGCTCTTTGTATACACTCCAGTTTCTGCTTCTCTGCCTTGTTCCTCTATGTGGGGATCTTCCACTTAAGCTCTACCCCCACAGCTCGCCAGATCTCCATGTCTGTCCAGATCAATTCCACGCTTCAAGGCCAAGTTAAATGCCTCCTCCAGGAAGGTGTCACCATAAAGGAGATCACCCTCCTCTGAACTCCCATAAGCCCTCCCTCTACAGCTCTCCAGGGTACTGCCTGTTTATTCTGTTCTCTTATTATCAACCCAAGGCTTGAGCTCCGTGAGAGATGTGTATTTCTCAATTTTAATGAGTCCTCAATTCATTGTTTTTTTAATGAATGAGTAGAATTAAATACCTATGGAAGAAACCTGATAAAGGTGAAATGGCTGTTACTAGGCAATGTTGTTTATAATAAAAATGACCCCTGTAGGTTACCTGCATTTGGAATGAGAGGGCCATGAGGGAACTCTAAACACCCAGTAGAAGGCCATGGCTATGAACTTCCTGAAGTATAGTGTGCTCCTAATCCCAAGGCTCCCCCTGCCTGGGATCTAAAAGCAATAAGTTTTATGTGTGTTTGTATGATATATATATACACACATGTACACATATATATACATATATAGATTACATGGATTATGAGAGATACTGGTTCCTATAGCACGCTTCTAAGACAGGTGGTTCCCATACCCGCTTGTGTTCCCAGCCCTCACACCTCAGTTGTCACTCAGGCTAGCGACTAGCCCTTGGACCCCTGTGAAAATTCCACTGACAGACAAACCTAAGGCTGCCCTGCTATACTTTCTGCCCTGTTTCCTTCTGCAAAAGTGATGCCAGCATGGCCTATTTGGGTCTTATGACTATGAAATGACCAGCTGAATCCAAAACCACTGTGCTGATCTATCAGGAGAAGGTGTGGAGCCACACGTCCTAACTCCCAGACCAATCCTCTTGCCATGATCCTATGCTGCCTCTTCCCTTCTGACTGGCCTTTGAGTCAAAATGACTTGTTACCTTCACTTTTCTATGAAGTAAATTCCTCAGATAATAAACTGCATTAAACATTTACCTGTTTCTAGGTCATTATTTCTATCAAGGTAGGAATAAAACCAACCACAGGCCCCTCTTACCACAGACTGGGTCCCAGGAGAGGCTTACCAGACAGCTCATGAGAAGACTGGACTTTTCTTCTGTTCCTCCAGTGACTGAAAATTCAGGTGTGTGGGGACAGTGTGCACTGTGCTCATTTATACTACCCTCTAAACAGGCACGAAGCTTCTGCTCTGTCAACTCAGAAGACTAAAAAATAAAAAAGTTCAACCTCCTCTCAGTGACTTGATAGCCAACAGATGGAAAATCCTCATTCCTCATGCCAACCAATAGAACTGTGGCTCACTCTGACAGCTTGATTCCTTGGAGCCTTAAAGACACTCTTGGGCCCATGACTGTGCCAAGATCTCTTAACCAATCTCCATTTAACTGCCTCTCCATATTAACCAATGCCCTCTACTGCTGTAAAACACACTGATGGCCACTCATGGCAGAAAGAACACTCAGAGGCTGTAGGCTACTTTCCAGCCTCCCTCTGCCTC